TTTAGACCACTGAGCTAGACCCTAAACTCATTTTATACTAACAGACTGCCTCTGCACTAAATTTAGACTACTAGATATTTGGTCCACTAGACTGGCCCTATAGGGCTGGTAAGTAGGTCACCAACCAGTTCTATGGCTCATGCAGGTTTTATTGAGCCGTAGAACTAGTTGGTGACCTACTTACCAGTCCTATATTAAATTTAGTTCACTAAACTGGCTCATGGTTGCTAAATCGAAAGACCTGGGTTCGAACCCCCAGGCGGATGAGGCTCGCTAGCTGGAGACAACAACCCATCTAGGAGAGATAACTCCAAAATAAAATAAACTTCTGCATTCTAGGTTGTTTTTGAATGGACAAAGCCTATGGAGTTAACTGACTATACGGCGCATAACATGTTGACACGTAATAAGTAATTATGTTGGAGGAAATCCCATTCAATCTTACAATTAATACAAAATGTTTCGTCAGTCTGGTGTTTTAGGACTAGATCGCTTAACCTTGGGGTTCGATAGATCCCCAGGGGTTTGATGAATCAATCTCAGGGGTTCGGCGGAAGTCAAGACTCACACCGATTGATATGATTGCGATCGTATTTTGTCAGTGCGAACGATGGAACTAGCGGCCGTAAACGATAACAATTTTAACACGACAGCGTGACATAGTAACAAAGTGCGCAGGGGCGAGATGACACGTATCGTAATATTTTTTATACCATGTAACCCTTGACGTCACGACGCACATACGTCACAAATCGTGTCAACGTCACCTATACAGGCGCACGTTGATATATATTTATATATATATATATATATATATATATATATATATATATATATATATATATATATATATATATATATATAGGGGTCCATGGGAGGGGTTATAAACCCACCCCCGCCCCCCTTTGTCTACGCCACTGACAAGAATAACGGAACTTGATTAAAGTCTGTCTCCTAACTGCATGATTTGTAATGCTAAGTTGGCCAATTCTAGTCTAGCACCGGCAAAACTTTGAGAACACTTCCGTAATCTGCATGGAGATGGGAAATACAATTAGTTACAAAACACTCGCTGAATTCAAAGTGAGGCCGCGCATCTCTGAACTGGCGCCTGAAAAGGCAAAACTTGAAGTCACACTGATTTGTAATCAATATTCATTAATTAATATAATTTGTTTTCGTCACCAAATCATATTTTAATGGTTTTGTTCTTTCAACACAGTGATGAAATAATCGAGTTTTAAAAAATAAAACTTCAATTTGTGTCGAGCTTTTCATGGGTAGGCTATATACGGAAGCTTGATATGTGTAACTGTTTTCTGTGTTTGTTTTGTCAGAGTGTTTTTTGTATTTTTATTATAAATTTAAAACGAAACCCGTTTACAAGAATGTCATTATTTATTATGTCTTATTTAATTGTTTTTTAATTTTCTCAGTACAATGCGCCTCTCTTCTTTCCCTAGTTAGACCATACACATTTAACGAAGAGTCATAAGTTAAGGAAGTAGTTTGAGCGATAGCCTATCTTTCGAATTGCAGTTCATGTAGTTTTTTTTGTTTGTTATTTTTACGGAACTTGGTGGATTAACCACTACACAATGATCACCGATCTAGTAGACTTTTTTTTTTTTTTACAAAACCACTATCAAGTTGCACGAAAGAAATATTTTGGAATGAACTATATTTTTTGTTTGGGGGGGGGGAGGGGGAGGGGGGGTTCCGTTCCTCTAAACGGTTTGCCACCCCCTCCATCCCCCCCCCCATTATTTCCGCCCTTGTTTAAAACCCAGTTAGTAGCTTACGATCTCCACAAGACAGTTATCTGCCCCTTCTTACCGCCCACGGGAAGTAACTGTCCGTCATATAACGTGACCTACAGCAGAAGCATAGCGGCCCAATCTGACGACTGGTTAGATTTATCTTGCTTGTGGCTAATGCAAGATTAATGGCAATGCAAGCATTTTCTAATTTTTAATTGAATTAGTTTTAAAATAAGTAATTAAAAATTAATATATAAATGCCTTTTTTTGATGATAAAAAGGGAAATAACACAGAATTCGTATCAAACGACCGCTTGGTCAGCCTTCTTACAACGGGAACTGTGAGCTGGGGGGGGGGGGGCGACTAAGGTGTAGAAAATAAATAGAAAGCTCATTCTAAGCTGCATTACTAAATTGTACACAGCCAAATTTAAGTAAAAAATGCAGCTGGAAGAATTGAGGACTGGTAGCTCTACTTTAGCAGACGTGAAATAAAAGAGAACCGAAAGTTGACAGATTTTATTCACTCATCAAGTGCCAGCACAGGGTCATATGACGTCACCTATCTTCGGCAGACTCCGGAAGTCTGTGATAAGGAAGACAAGATAATACAGAGTTTTAATAAAGTTGTTCAGACATTGAGACAGACATTTTAAGCCAAAACCTTCAACCCAAGACAAGGTAAGGCAATCGGGACGTTTTTTGGTAGGGTTCGCTATACAACCACATGTTTCTCTTTTAACGTTTAGTTCTGATTCGCTTAACAACGTTTATGTAGTAATTTAAGAAACCTTCACGTGGTAATGCAAAATAAAATGTTCAAAAAACGACAATCGATGAAGAAGATGGAGTAGAGTTTACACCTGAGATGACTTAGAATGGCTGGTACCCGTTCTAACTGGGTGGTCTAGGGTCGGCTGCTACCAGCTAGAGCATAGTTGGCTCAAGGCCGTCAGGTACCAGTTAGAGCTGAGTTGGCTCAGGGACGTTAGGTGCCTGTTAGATGTACATAGGATTAGAGACAGCAGCATAGATCCAACAAACAGACAATATTTCATGGTCTTAGACAAATAAGTTTCGAAAGTAGCGTGTAAACAGTTTCAACTTGAAAGTCTGTTTTCTGTTTCTGCCTAGACGAAGCCTTGTCCCCCCCCCCCCCACACACACACACTCAAGCCATGTTGACTCAGGTATTTCATCTGGTCGTGGTCGGCGTCGTGCTGACGCTAGTGGCGTCACAAGACCCGCACCAATACATCAGCTGCGTCATCGAGACCAAACTCTCCTCTGACGCCTGCAAGGCGGCCGCCAGGGCGCAGGGTGCCGGTGCGACGGATCCGGCTTCCGGCTGCGCCCTGCTGGAGGCTGCGCATGCGCACCTGCTGAGCGTGGGCTGTACGGCTAACGACTACACCATCCTGCACCAGGTCATCTGTGAGATGAAGGACATAGGTTGTCTGCCCCCCATGGGGAAGTAAGGACAGGTTTTTTCCAACCCCCCCCCCCCTCCGTGAGGAAATAAACATGCAAGGAGAGTGGACTTTGTTTTCTGAAATATATTCATTTTAATTTAATTTGTTTCTTTTCATAATAAACCATTTTATTAAATAAGTAATTGAATTAGTAAATGACAATTACTACTATGATGAAATTGAAAAATAAAAACTACAAGTTATTGTGAAGCAAGAGTTACAACATACAATATAATATTTGGAACGTTCAAACTTAAGATGCCTTATAGAGCACATTAGTAGAAGGCTAAAGATCTCTAATGCCACACAGTCAAACCTCCACACTAGATTCTAATACATGTTTGAGTTACCGAGTGGTACGTATAACTTTGAGGGCCAGGTTAGAAATAGTTGAGTGAGTGTGTGAGTGTGTGAGTAAGTGAGTGAGTGTGTGAGTGTGTGAGTAAGTTAGTGAGTGTGTGAGTGTGTAAAAGTGTGAGTGTGTGAGTGAGTGAGTTAGTGTGAGTGTGTGAGTGTGTGAATGTGTGAGAGTGTGAGTGTGTGAGTGAGTGTGTGTGGGAGTGAGTGAGTGAGTGAGTGAGTGTGAGTGTGTGTGGTCTATAATTCACCCCAATGCTCCTTCACGCCACTTTAACACCCACTTTAGACCTTAAGGTTAAACACCACAACAATGGACTAAACGCAGCTCTCTCACACACACTACACCATGAAATCTAAACTATTTCTAGCCTAAACCCTAAACGTTACACGTAACATCCGGTTCTCTCCGGATCAAAGAGGAACACATCAACTAACAACAATTGTGATGCGCCTGATCAAGGTCAACAAACGAATCGATCGTGACGAAGATAAACCTTAATTAATTGTAGCCGGTAGGTGGCGTTATACCTATTCATAAAAAATCGAATGCCAGCAAATATTAAAATTAGCCATTTAAAAAAATGTAAAGTTTCCCTTTCAAACCTGGCGGTCTATGGGGCAAGTGAAGTAGAGTTCACTTGTTTCTGCGACCTCGGCATATGAAGAGATAGTGTGGTCAGCACTATGCCCAGCCGCCTTTACTTTCCCTAATATGAGTTAGGTACCCATCAGAGTTGGGTGGACTCAGGGACGGTCTACTGAATTGAACCCGGATTCGAACTCGAGACTTACGGGTTAGCAGTCCAGCTAAAATTAGCCAAACTCTGACTAAAATAAGCAAAGTATTTATATGTCAAGGCGATCAACGAATACTGTTATCAGGGAAATATGACAAATGGATGTTTAACGTAAAACGTTGAAAACACACAGCAGTTTTTTTTAATAATATGTTTTAAATTGTACTATATGACACACTTGTGAAGGAGGCCTAGTGGTTTATAAGTGTATTAAAAAATCTATAAAAATTGCAGTAGCTTGAATCCTGCGTTAAGATGTTGATTCTAAAATCAGTGTAAAAACTAAAACAAGAAATAAAGGTAATTTTAAAATTTTTACAACAAAATCTCAAAGTATCAGTTTGTGATAGCTAGAGCAACGCCTTGTCGGATCGGCTGATCTCCATATTTTTACGTCAGATAACCTTTTGAACCAATAACAGACACGTTAAGCGCCCGACATACCCGGGACCAAACAACCAATTAACGAGCACTAATTAATTAGTTAATTGAGCCGAGTTTAACTACCACCGGGACAGATAAGAGTCACAGATAGCCCAACTATCTGCATCAGATATCTGCACTACTCCCAGCTGTGAGCCAATGCTAGGTCTCGTCCGAGAAAAAGTGGTAGAGATTACACGAGACTATGGTCTGTCTTTTCTGTGTTAGGTGATACTACAACACTATCTGCCACACTTGGTTACCAGACTGGTCCAACAGTAATTGGTCAGGGACAACAGATAGATCAGTATGGATCTTTCATTGAACCTGAAGTAGCCGATCACGTGATATTTTCTAGTAGAGAATCTAAGAACGATAAAACCGTCTTTTCATCGATAGGCATGTGTCTGTCTTAATGGATTGAGAATTCAGGTAATCAAATTTTGTTTTGTTAAAATAGGTTTTCTTTTGTAAATCGTACTAGCAGGTAGGTCTACAGCAGAGTTTACGAGAAAAATATGATAAATGAGTCAGCCGGCCGTGATAGGTTCAAATGTTGATTTAGCCGGCTGATGTAGAATGGTTTAGCCGGCTGATGTTGTCTGATTTAGCCGGCTGATGTAGAATGGTTTAGCCGGCTGATGTTGTTTGATTTAGCCGGCTGATGTAGACTGATTTAGCCGGCTGATGTCTGATTTAGCCGGCTGTCTGATTTAGCCGGCTGATGTTGTCTGATTTAGCCGGCTGATGTTGTCTGATTTAGCCGGCTGATGTTGTTTAATTTAGCCGGCTGATGTTGTCTGATTTAGTCGGCTGATGTTGTCTGATTTAGTCGGCTGATGTTGTCTGATTTAGCCGGCTGATGTTGTTTGATTTAGCCGGCTGATGTTGTCTGATTTAGCCGGCTAACACTAGTGTCACGGTACTGTTAGCTACCTAACACTAGTGTCACGGTACTGTTAGCTACCTAACACTAGTGTCACGGTACTGTTAGCTACCTAACACTAATGTCACGGTACTGTTAGCTACCTAACACTAGTGTCACGGTACTGTTAGCTACCTAACACTAGTGTCACGGTACTGTTAGCTACCTAACACTAGTGTCACGGTACTGTTAGCTACCTAACACTAGTGTCACGGTACTGTTAGCTACCTAACACTAGTGTCACGGTACTGTTAGCTACCTAACACTAGTGTCACGATACTGTTAGCTACCTAACACTAGTGTCACGGTACTGTTAGCTACCTAACACTAGTGTCACGGTACTGTTAGCTACCTAACACTAGTGTCACGGTACTGTTAGCTACCTAACACTAGTGTCACGGTACTGTTAGCTACCTAACACTAGTGTCACGGTACTGTTAGCTACCTAACACTAATGTCACGGTACTGTTAGCTACCTAACACTAGTGTCACGGTACTGTTAGCTACCTAACACTAGTGTCACGGTACTGTTAGCTACCTAACACTAGTGTCACGGTACTGTTAGCTACCTAACACTAGTGTCACGGTACTGTTAGCTACCTAACACTAGTGTCACAGTACTGTTAGCTACCTAACACTAGTGTCACGGTACTGTTAGCTACCTAACACTAGTGTCACGGTACTGTTAGCTACCTAACACTAGTGTCACGGTACTGTTAGCTACCTAACACTAGTGTCACGGTACTGTTAGCTACCTAACACTAGTGTCACGGTACTGTTAGCTACCTAACACTAGTGTCACGATACTGTTAGCTACCTAACACTAGTGTCACGGTACTGTTAGCTACCTAACACTAGTGTCACGGTACTGTTAGCTACCTAACACTAGTGTCACGGTACTGTTAGCTACCTAACACTAGTGTCACGGTACTGTTAGCTACCTAACACTAGTGTCACAGTACTGTTAGCTACCTAACACTAGTGTCACGGTACTGTTAGCTACCTAACACTAGTGTCACAGTACTGTTAGCTACCTAACACTAGTGTCACGGTACTGTTAGCTACCTAACACTAGTGTCACGGTACTGTTAGCTACCTAACACTAGTGTCACAGTACTGTTAGCTACTTAACACTAGTGTCACGGTACTGTTAGCTACCTAACACTAGTGTCACGGTACTGTTAGCTACCTAACACTAGTGTCACGGTACTGTTAGCTACCTAACACTAATGTCACAGTACTGTTAGCTACCTAACACTAGTGTCACGGTACTGTTAGCTACCTAACACTAGTGTCACGGTACTGTTAGCTACCTAACACTAGTGTCACGGTACTGTTAGCTACCTAACACTAGTGTCACGGTACTGTTAGCTACCTAACACTAGTGTCACGATACTGTTAGCTACCTAACACTAGTGTCACGGTACTGTTAGCTACCTAACACTAGTGTCACGGTACTGTTAGCTACCTAACACTAGTGTCACGGTACTGTTAGCTACCTAACACTAGTGTCACGGTACTGTTAGCTACCTAACACTAGTGTCACGGTACTGTTAGCTACCTAACACTAGTGTCACGGTACTGTTAGCTACCTAACACTAGTGTCACGGTACTGTTAGCTACCTAACACTAGTGTCACGGTACTGTTAGCTACCTAACACTAGTGTCACGGTACTGTTAGCTACCTAACACTAGTGTCACGGTACTGTTAGCTACCTAACACTAGTGTCACGATACTGTTAGCTACCTAACACTAGTGTCACGGTACTGTTAGCTACCTAACACTAGTGTCACGGTACTGTTAGCTACCTAACACTAGTGTCACGGTACTGTTAGCTACCTAACACTAGTGTCACAGTACTGTTAGCTACCTAACACTAGTGTCACGGTACTGTTAGCTACCTAACACTAGTGTCACGGTACTGTTAGCTACCTAACACTAGTGTCACAGTACTGTTAGCTACCTAACACTAGTGTCACGGTACTGTTAGCTACCTAACACTAGTGTCACAGTACTGTTAGCTACCTAACACTAGTGTCACGGTACTGTTAGCTACCTAACACTAGTGTCACGGTACTGTTAGCTACCTAACACTAGTGTCACGATACTGTTAGCTACCTAACACTAGTGTCACGGTACTGTTAGCTACCTAACACTAGTGTCACGGTACTGTTAGCTACCTAACACTAGTGTCACGGTACTGTTAGCTACCTAACACTAGTGTCACGGTACTGTTAGCTACCTAACACTAGTGTCACGGTACTGTTAGCTACCTAACACTAGTGTCACGGTACTGTTAGCTACCTAACACTAGTGTCACGATACTGTTAGCTACCTAACACTAGTGTCACGGTACTGTTAGCTACCTAACACTAGTGTCACGGTACTGTTAGCTACCTAACACTAGTGTCACGGTACTGTTAGCTACCTAACACTAATGTCACAGTACTGTTAGCTACCTAACACTAGTGTCACGGTACTGTTAGCTACCTAACACTAGTGTCACGGTACTGTTAGCTACCTAACACTAGTGTCACGGTACTGTTAGCTACCTAACACTAGTGTCACGGTACTGTTAGCTACCTAACACTAGTGTCACGATACTGTTAGCTACCTAACACTAGTGTCACGGTACTGTTAGCTACCTAACACTAGTGTCACGGTACTGTTAGCTACCTAACACTAGTGTCACGGTACTGTTAGCTACCTAACACTAGTGTCACGGTACTGTTAGCTACCTAACACTAGTGTCACGGTACTGTTAGCTACCTAACACTAGTGTCACGGTACTGTTAGCTACCTAACACTAGTGTCACGGTACTGTTAGCTACCTAACACTAGTGTCACGGTACTGTTAGCTACCTAACACTAGTGTCACGGTACTGTTAGCTACCTAACACTAGTGTCACGGTACTGTTAGCTACCTAACACTAGTGTCACGGTACTGTTAGCTACCTAACACTAGTGTAACAGTACTGTTAGCTACCTAACACTAGTGTCACGGTACTGTTAGCTACCTAACACTAGTGTCACGGTACTGTTAGCTACCTAACACTAGTGTCACGGTACTGTTAGCTACCTAACACTAGTGTCACGGTACTGTTAGCTACCTAACACTAGTGTCACGGTACTGTTAGCTACCTAACACTAGTGTCACGGTACTGCTAGCTACCTAACACTAGTGTCACGGTACTGCACGGTACTGTTAGCTACCTAACACTAGTGTCACGGTACTGTTAGCTACCTAACACTAGTGTCACGGTACTGCTAGCTACCTAACACTAGTGTCACGGTACTGCACGGTACTGTTAGCTACCTAACACTAGTGTCACGGTACTGTTAGCTACCTAACACTAGTGTCACGGTACTGCTAGCTACCTAACACTAGTGTCACGGTACTGCACGGTACTGTTAGCTACCTAACACTAGTGTCACGGTACTGTTAGCTACCTAACACTAGTGTCACGGTACTGTTAGCTACCTAACACTAGTGTCACGGTACTGTTAGCTACCTAACACTAGTGTCACGGTACTGTTAGCTACCTAACACTAGTGTCACGGTACTGCTAGCTACCTAACACTAGTGTCACGGTACTGCACGGTACTGTTAGCTACCTAACACTAGTGTCACGGTACTGTTAGCTACCTAACACTAGTGTCACGGTACTGTTAGCTACCTAACACTAGTGTCACGGTACTGTTAGCTACCTAACACTAGTGTCACGGTACTGTTAGCTACCTAACACTAGTGTCACGGTACTGTTAGCTACCTAACACTAGTGTCACGGTACTGTTAGCTACCTAACACTAGTGTCACGGTACTGTTAGCTACCTAACACTAGTGTCACGGTACTGTTAGCTACCTAACACTAGTGTCACGGTACTGTTAGCTACCTAACACTAGTGTCACGGTACTGTTAGCTACCTAACACTAGTGTCACGGTACTGTTAGCTACCTAACACTAGTGTCACGGTACTGTTAGCTACCTAACACTAGTGTCACGGTACTGTTAGCTACCTAACACTAGTGTCACGGTACTGTTAGCTACCTAACACTAGTGTCACGGTACTGTTAGCTACCTAACACTAGTGTCACGGTACTGTTAGCTACCTAACACTAGTGTGACGGTACTGTTAGCTACCTAACACTAGTGTCACGGTACTGTTAGCTACCTAACACTAGTGTCACGGTACTGTTAGCTACCTAACACTAGTGTCACGGTACTGTTAGCTACCTAACACTAGTGTCACGGTACTGTTAGCTACCTAACACTAGTGTCACGGTACTGTTAGCTACCTAACACTAGTGTCACGGTACTGTAAGCTACCTAACACTAGTGTCACGGTACTGTTAGCTACCTAACACTAGTGTGACGGTACTGTTAGCTACCTAACACTAGTGTCACGGTACTGCTAGCTACCTAACACTAGTGTCACGGTACTGCTAGCTACCTAACACTACTGTCACGGTACTGTTAGCTACCTAACACTAGTGTCACGGTACTGCTAGCTACCTAACACTAGTGTCACGGTACTGCTAGCTACCTAACACTAGTGTCACGGTAATGTTAGCTACCTAACACACCTATTCTTGGAAGAGTCCACTGTCAGACACTGGTAAGAGACATACACCCAATATTCGATCAAATCTGTGAGCATGTTTTAAGAATAAAACTTCCCTGATCCTGGACATTTCTTGATTTTTTTTATGTTTTAAATTTCTAACTAGGAGATCGAAGAAAAATGATTGGACTCGGTTTTCATCTGGTGATTGTATGTCTGCTGGTGACGTCATCAGAACAAACAGATATCGGGGTCAAGGAGACAACGGATGTGACGTCACCCACTGATACAACTGCTGATGTCGGTCCTACTGTACCTATCAATGAGACAGACTTACAAAAAACTTTCCGAGAACTGGAAGATGAGATAACGTCCCCCCACTGTAAAATGGTTTTAAAAGACCGAGCGAATGTTCTAACCAGCTTCAGTGAAGCGTGCTGCATGTTAATCTCCTTCCAGACGACCCTGGTACCGTTGATGTGTACACAACTCGAGTACGACAGGGCGCATGACGTCCTGTGTGTCAACGTGACCTGCCCAACGACGACGGCACCACCCGAGCACGTGACCAACGCCAGCCAGACGTCCACGGAACACAAGGAGAAAGTCTTGTGCATCATCGACACCCAGCTGTCGTCTGACAGCTGCAGGGCGACAGCCAGACAGCAAGCTGAGGGGGAGTCGGAGCAGGGACACGCTTGTGAGACGCTGAAAAGTTTCCAGTCGGCGCTGGATGCGATCGGGTGTTCGAAGCAGGACTACGATACTCTCTACTCCGTCATCTGTGATGACGTCGACACTACTTGTGTACGGGAAGACCCGCTCCAGGCCGTGATAAACACCTTGACCTTCAGGTGTAAAAGTACCATGTCGGCTGGTTGGAAAGAACTCAAATCCCCAGGTGGATGTTCTACTCTGGAATCTTCTAGAACCACAATCCTAACCACAAACATCTGCACGCTGGGAGACTATAACCGCCTCCACGGGATTTTGTGTTCACAGGACAAGTTGGATCCGAACCAGGTACTCTCTCAAGGCGTCAAGTTCGACAACGCCATCAACACGGTGCAAACTAAAATTTCCCAGAGCTGCCACGAAATAGTGTGGAAGGACCTCGAAAAAAGCGACTATAACCTTGACCCAGTTTGTCAAAAGTTGAAATCGTCTGGCCAAGGCCTGCGGGTCAAAGGTCTGTGCACACAAGCCGACCTTGACACGCTAGAACCAGCCGTGTGTATCGGCCACCGCGTGTACGACCAAAAGGAGCAGGAGCTCCGCACGAAGATCCACCAGGTGATCGAGGAGCTGGGCGACAGGTGCAAGGAGACAATGCTGGAGCAGGAGCGGCAGATGGAGGACACAACGGTCGAGTCGGCGTGTGTCAAGCTCAAGGCCTCGCACTCGGCGCTGCTCAACACACAGGTGTGTAGCGAGGCGGAGATTGGTCGACTGTCTCCCCTGCTGTGTGGCAACACCGCTGTCTTGCTACAGGCCAATCTTCTGGTGCTGCTAGCGGCCTCCATCTTCACACTTCGTCAGCTTCTGCTCTAACTCTCGGATACATACATCAACAAAAACTTGACTCAGTCATAGGACCATTCTCCGTGTGGTCTGACATATTTATGTTCTTTTACAATTGTGTTTTTTTTAGACTGAATTTGTATACACGAAAACATTTTCTTTTGTTTTATTTAACATTTAATTTTTCCCGGTGCGGCACTTAATGGTGTCACTCCCCAGAGGCGTAGCGACCCTTCCCAGGGACAAACTTTAAAATTTTCAAAAATTTGCACCCCCCCCCCCTCAAACTTTCAATTTGCACCCCCCCCCCCCCATCAAACTTTCGATTTGCACCCCCTTCAAGTTTTTCTCTGTCTTGGTGTCACCCCCCTAAATGGTGTTACCCGGTGCGGTCCGCGCCCCCCTCGCTAGGCCTCCTATAGAAAGATAATTTGAACACCTCATAGATTCTGAAATATATTTCAGTTACTTCCCTTCACGTAGCTCATGTCCTTATTAAATACTAGATTCAGGTCGAGCTTCCCAAAAGCTTTTTTTTTAAGTCGTTTGATGCCTTACCCTTGACATAATCCCAACAATTACTTACGAACTATTGATAATTTAGCAACAACATTTTAATTGTATGATTAATGTTTTAACAATTAAAAAATAATGAATCACTCCTCTTTCAGTTGCATTTATCGTCCAAGTGATTTTCATTTTTGACTTCAACTTCGTAAAATAATTGTGTGAAAAAACTGATCATATATTTATGCTGGATACTCCGGTATATTGTTTGACTAGTTTAAAAAAACGGAATTATCTGTTGGGAAATATACCGAGTTACCAGAAACATTATACCAAGTCACCGATCTTGAAAAAAAATTGTATTAATCACTAACAGTAGATTGCAATATGTCAAATTTAGATGAGTACTTTGTTTATATATGACGTCACGATATTTTAGCGGTCGTTCTCACCCCATCCCCTAACGTCAGGAGTCGACATAAGAAGCCAGACCCCCCAACCCCTCCCCCTACACACGTAACACAGTTAAGTCAAACTCCACCTACATCATCCAATCAAAATGATCTTACTTACAGATTATAAAAATAAATTTAAAAATAAATTTTTAAAATTCGTTTCATACCCACCTTCCACACCGCCATAAATGTGTCCCCCCCCCCCCCATTTTTGACAACACAGGACGACCCTTAGCGAATCGAATTGCACATTTAAAATCTAATACATTATATATGGTATAATTTTCTTGACAATTTTTTGCTCGTACTTTGATGTGTCGTGATAGTTCAATCGTAGGCCATGTGATTGTATTTGGAGAGAAGCATATTGCAGCATATGTTGGAAGCATGTAGCAGCATATGTTGGAAGCATATAGCAGCATATGTTGGAACCATATAGCAGCATAAGTTGGAAAGCATATAGTAGCATATGTTGGAAAGCATATAGTAGCATATGTTGGAAGCGTATAGCAGCAAATGCTTAAGCATATTATGGCATAAATTAGAAGTATATGGAAACATTTACAAGGATGTCGATAATTTTTGAGCATTGATGCAGACATAGGTGTAGAAATATTTCACATAAAGAGCTGTCAACACATGCCACCCCCCCCCCCCCCCCCCCCTCACATGTAGTAAAATATTTCTCATCATTGAAATCAGGCAACAACCAATTCTGTCACGTCAACCTGGTATCTAAACAAATCTGCTCAGGGATGGATTCCCAAATTCCCATTTAGATCGTTGACACAGGTAGAACTAATTATGAATATGTAGGGGAACTAAATTTGTTTGTCCCACAAACTAGTATTACATGGGTAGAGTCCCTTGAGAATCCATTCATAGTTGTTTGTCACATGTGTAATAAATTAGCTTTCCATTAAGAATTTATTGTTACTGTAATTATCTATTACATCACCAATCAACAAACGCACACAATATTACAGTAAACAATTAACGAAGGGTGGATGGCATTCATACGACATGAGGAATATATCACAATATGTGGCCTGACTGGCTTCCCTTGGTTGAAGACATTGTTGGTACGGGGGTCATCCATTCATTAATATAACGTGGAGGGAAGGTTGGGGGGGGGGGGGGTCGGAATTTAATGACGATCGACAACTAGCGGAAGTGTGTATGAAGAATCGATTGATATGCTTAATATTAGCAAAGTTCGATTATTATCTTAGATATTATCTTAGATAACATGGTTGTATTGAAATTGAAATTAGATTTTTCAAACTTACTACCATTTCTTCCGAGAAATACTTAGGTCCTATAAAACAGTGTGCACTTAAGTTTTATACAACAGTGTGTAGTTAAGTTTTATGAATCAGTATGTACATAAGTCCTCCTATGAAGCCAGTGTCTCTTCCAGAGTTTTTTCTCCGGGGACCGGGGATACACTTGACTGTTAAAAGTGAAAGCTATATATATATATATATATATATATATATATATATATAGGGGGGTAGGGGGGTAGATTCCTGGAAGAAATTCTGTATGAAACAGTGTACCAAATCCTAGCGTGCTAACTAAACAAGCTCAGGTGAAATAGAAGACAATGTCGACAACAAAGATAACACCCACACAGAGATAGATAGAGATATCATGACCAGTCAGTCACACAAAGAACAAAGTAGGATGGGCAGGTGTAAAAATAGATTTAACAAACACGGCTGATCAGAGTTTCTTCCAGGCATCTCTTCGGGGGGGGGGGGGCAAAGCCCCCCCGAAAATTTTTTACCGCCCCCCGAACGAAATGAAATTTATATAATTTATATAGAAAATATATACTTTTAACAGTGTCCGCCCCCCCCGAAGAAAGTTTACCGCCCCCCCCCCCCCGAAGATTTCAAGTGCCCCCCTGGAGAAAAAAGTCTGGAAGAAACACTGCGGCTGATGGTTTAGGGCAGGGGTCTCCAAACTTTTCAGTCCGAGGGCCGCATTAACTATTAAATTTCAGTTCGGGGGCCAGGCATGTCTTTGATTTTTCTGGGCAATGTTCCTCAGCCATCAGCAACAAACGTTTTTACCATGGACAAAAAGATCTCCGCGGGCCGGATGAGAGGACCTCGCGGGCCGCATACGGCCCGCGGGCCGTAGTTTGGAGACCCCTGGTTTAGGGTGAAGGTCAGCGGCGTAGTCTGGCAGAAGGGCATGGTGCCTGTGGAGATAATCCGCCCATGTGCCCTCAAAATGATGGCTGTCTCACAGTAAGTTATTGCGATACGCACACGACGCGGGGTGGAACTACCATGCCGCCTGATACCGCATAGGGGGGGGGGCGGCAAGCCGTTTAGCGGACCAAATCCGACAAAATAAAATTGTGTGCACCGTGATAGGCTAGTGGCTTTGTAAAAAAACAGATATCTACAGTAACGAACACACCGTTTTCATAGACATAAAACTACATGAGCTGTAGTGTGAAATGCAAACCTTCAAACCACTTCAATGACTTCTCGCTTCTCTTTAACTAGTCTAATATAGAAGGCCCAAAAAAGTTTATTTTAATAGTTTTGTACTAAGCAAAATAAAAAAAAACAACGTATTCTCTTAATTATTATTAAAATAAGATATACTAAAGAATGACACAGTGTAAAAAGAAATGTGTTCAAAATTACCTCCTGTCATTACTGTCGTTACCTCCTGTTATTACTGTCATTACCTCCTGTCATTACTGTCGTTACCTCCTGTCATTACTGTCGTTACCTCAGTGTCATTACTGTCGTTACCTCCTGTCATTACTGTCGTTACCTCCTGTCATTACTGTCGTTACCTCCTGTCAATCCCCACAGAGGATTTCTGTTGAATACCACACAGGGAGACCTGCAAAGAATAAACACATCCTCTCCATAACTTAAACAGGTTAATGTTGGGATTAGCTTTAGGGCATCTACAGGGGTCAAGTTATACTGCATAGTTTAGATGGGGGTGGGGGGATTCATCTGAGAGTTACTGTTGTGATTGTTAGGTGGGTGGGGGGGGGATTCATCTGAGAGTTACTGTTGTGACGGTTAGGTGGGTGGGGGGGGGGGATTCATCTGAGAGTTACTGTTGTGACGGTTAGGTGGGTGGGGGGGGATTCATCTGAGAGTTACTGTTGTGACGGTTAGGTGGGTGGGGGGGGGGGGATTCATCTGAGAGTTACTGTTGTGACGGTTAAGGTCCCGTGGAGCGGGGGAACACGGCTAATAGCAATGTCCTGCTCCCATAAATTTCCTGCTCCCAGAACCCATATATTGCTAAAAAAAATGATTTTTAAAAAAATTTTTCCCTCCGGCATAAGTCCTTAGCATATCTTTTGATAGTCATACCTGAGTTGAGATTTATCTTGAGGCAGATTTCTCAGATAAAAGATGATATTCACCACGTCACGGGATAAGATTTAAATTTTTTATCAGCCACCATTAAAAAAATATGTTGTGATTACTGCGTCAGTTAAATACAGTGGGAGAGTGACAAGCTAGTGTGGGTAGTGTGTGTTGTGTGGGTTGTGTGGGTCGGGTTCCATGGACACAAATACAATGTTAGGTTGATTTAAAGGTACATACAACTTCTTTTGGTAAGTTCGTTTTAAATATTAGATACATTTTATAATTAAATAATTTGTAGTTTTAAATTAGTTGTTGTTTTATTGATAGGAATCAATTATAATTAGCAACTGTTCACACTGTCGTGCCCTTTGTCGAGAGACTTTTCATTCATACTGCGTAACATCTGAACCATTCGCTTGAACAAACAATAGCGGCGCTGAAACCTTATTTCAGCAGTAAGTTAAAAGTTCCCTTTCAAGCCTAAAGGTCAATGGGACAAGTGAAGTAGAGTTCAGCTGTTTCTGTGACCTTGGCATATGAACAGATAGTGTAGTCAGCACTATGCACAGCGGACTTTCCCTAACGTGAGTTTGTTCCCCATCAGAGCTGGGTGGACTGAGTGACGTTTTACTGATGAACCCGGATTCGAACTCGAAAGTTTCTGGTTTGCCGTCTAATGCTCTACCGATAGACCATGCCGTCCTCTTTATTTCATTAGGCCAACACTTATTAGTTTGACCAGTGGCTTTCGTTTCAATTTCAAACTAAGATTTAAGTTGGTGCGTAAAAAAAAACCTTTATTCTTTTTCAACAACATCGCTCCAGTTTGAGACTTCCCTTGGGTGGGTGGGCTTTAAGTTCAAAGGGAATTAATTTTGTCTGGTTAAAGAATTGAAAAAACTTCCCTTGGTTGCGGTAGTTAAACAAATATTTGATTAAATTTTTTGATGTTTCCAGCTAGCGAGATGACGATTTAAAATTTCTTCAAAGTTTTATCCTACATCTCTAGACCCATCTCCAGTCACCATGTCGTCCCACCTGAGAAGTTTACACCTGTGGTTTGGTCTGTGTTTGGTTGTATTGACGTCTGGCGTCAACTCCGTGACGCTGACTCACGAGCAGCAAGTCAGTGACGCAGTGGCTGAGTTAACTGGTGCTTGTAAAAGTTTGGTAGAGAAAAACATTCATGATGTGTTGATGTCAGGGTGTAGCACGTTCGAGGCCTTTCAAATTTCTTTTACCGGCAGCTGTAACAAGACGCAGTTAGACAAGATACACACAGCGGTTTGCAACTTCATCCCACTGTCAACGACAACAGCAACAACCGCGAAATTTACAACACTTACACAAAGTACCACACCACCACCACCACCAACCTCGAAATTTACAACACTTACACAAAATACCACACCAACCACAATAAAAACAACGCCACATTACGTCACAACTAGCACACTATCAACATCTACACCACACACTGTATCAACAACTGTTCAACATGCTATCAACATCTCGATGTTCTTGCCATTGGCCCAGACACACAAGGAGTTAGTGGATTACGTCATCGCCAACATTTCTTCAGACGACTGTCGAAGTATGATACACGTAAATATCGGGAAGATCGTATCAGAAAATGATACCAGCTGGTGTGGGAAATTAGACGCAGTTCAACGTTTTTTGATGACCAAATGTGGACAAAATGATTTTAACAATTTTAAAGAAGCGGTGTGTATGACATTTGTTAAAACAGCATCAACCGCCACAACAGCAACCACCATCAAACCAGTAGCAACAACATCAACCACCAAACCAACTGCAACCACATCAGCAACAACTACCACACCTGCAACAACCACCAAACCAGCATCAATCACTACTACACAGACAACACTAACTACCAAACCATCAACAACAACTACCGCACCACCGACAACCACAAAACCAGCAACCACCTCTACAACACCGAATACAACAACTACCATACGCGTAACATCCAACAAACCAGCAACAACTACTACCACACCGACAACAACTACCAAACCAGCAGCAATCCAAACCACACCGACAATAACAACTACCAAACCAAGTACAACTACCATCACACCACCGACAACCACCAAACCAACAACCACTACTACAACACAAAAAACAACAACTACCACACCACCGACAACTATCACACCAGCAACAGCTACTAAACTTACAACAACTACTATAACAGCGACAACAACAACAGCTACCACACCGACACCAACAAGTAACACATCAACAGCAACAACTACCAAACCAGCAGCAATCACAACCACACCTACAACAACAACTACCAAACCGAGTACAATTACTATCACGCCACCGACAACTACCAAACCAGCTACAAACACTACAACACCAATAACATCAACTACAAAACCGACAACAGCAACTACCCAACTGGCAACAACTACTACCATAACAGCAACAACTACAACACTGACATCAACTACCAAACCGACAACAACAACTCCCAAACCGAGTACAATTACTACCACACCACCGACAACTACCAAACCAGCTACAACCACTACAACACCGATAACATCAACCACCATACCAACAACAAAAACTACCAAACTGGCAACAACTACTACCACACCAGCAACAACTACTACCACACCAGCAACAACTACTACCACACCATCAACAACTACTACAACACCGACAACAACAACCTCCGCACCAACAACGACTATTACCATGCCATCACCGACCTCAGCCAAAAGCCCATCACCTTTATTGACCGCACTACTGTCTAGCACAACTCGAGAAATATCAACACCCAGTCAGGCCTCCACGGTACACAAGGAGAAAGTCTGTGATGACGTCGACACTTCTTGTGTACGGGAAGACCCACTCCAGGCAGTGATAAACACCTTGACCTTCAGGTGTAAAAGTACCATGTCTGCTGGTTGGAAAGAACTCAAGTCCCCAGGTGGATGTTCTACTCTGGAATCTTCTAGAACCACAATCTTAACCACAAACATCTGCACGCTGGGAGACTATAACCGCCTCCACGGGATTTTGTGTTCACAGGACAAGTTGGATCCGAACCAGGTACTGTCTCAAGGCATCAAGTTCGACAACGCCATCAACACGGTGCAAACAAAAATTTCCCAGAGTTGCCATGCCATCATCTGGGCGGACCTCCAACACGGAGACTTTAGTCTGGACTCCGTCTGTCTCAAGCTGAAATCTTCCGGTGAGAACCTCATCGCCAACGGTTTCTGTACACACACGGACATCGCTACACTCCAGCCATCGGTGTGTGTCGGGCATCGGGTGTACGGCGCCAGCGAGCGGGAGACACGTGACCAGATCCATCACGTGATCGAGTCCATGGGGCAGACGTGCCAGCAGACGATGCTGGAGCAGGAGCGTCAGATGCAGGACTCCGCGTTGGAGTCAGGCTGCGTCAGACTCAAGGCGTCACGCTCGGCTCTCATTAACACGCAGGTGTGCAGCGAAGCGGAACTGTCCCCCCTCACCCCCCTGCTGTGTGGGAATGTCGCCTCTAGCATTAGTGGGGGTTGTGTGGTGCTACTCCTGGTGTGTCTAGGAACCTTCTGGCGACTGGTGCCTTGTATCTGAGACTGCCTGCCTGCCTGGCGACTGGTGCCTTGTATCTGAGACTTTGGTGACTGCCAGATCTAAAAAACTGTCAAACCTGTATATTAAAACTTTCTCTCTTGATATGTTGTTGGGTCGTCCCCAGCGAAATTAAGAAACAGTGAACAACTTTGTGAACATTTAAATGCAAAATTTTACAAAAATACTTTGTAAAATCTATAATCAATATTAACAATTTAATTTAGAAACATTTACATCTTTGCTATGTACATGATTTGAATGTATTGGCAGCACAAACTTTGGTAGGTTAACAAAGATTGGACATGTTATAATTTTTTACATTTTCTCATTGTGTATGTAGATGCAAGTTATAATTGTTTTCATCTTTTGTGAATGGATGTATATTGCATGCTAGTAAAAAGCTGACTTAACATAAAAAAAAACGTCTCGTTAAATTAATTTTATTTTAAAAATTCATATAGGATCTACATAGTATCAATGTATTAGAAATGTAGTAGATTGTCAATATACGCATACACACGCATACAAACACACACATACTCCTATGTCTACTCCTGCCGTGTCCCCCTCCCCCTCCCCCACCTTCCCTTAACAGATGTGATATAGATTGGCGCAGTGGTTACAAATACTAATGACATGAGGCAAATGATGATGGTCGACTTGCAGGAAAAACCAAGACAAAGAAAACATTCCTATGGGTCAGGATACGGCACAACTGTATATACGCACAAATTAATGCGTGTGTGCATCCTAACCACATTTTTATTATTTTCGGTAAATTCCGATTATGTCTGGCACCAAGGCGTACCTTGATTTCCCAGAAAAGTCTTGAAAAATCTTATCGGGAATTCCTGCACCTGATAATTTAAATATATCGCTTATGTTGGAATAATTCGGGGTACGTCAGTTGAACAAACGACAAACAGGTTAGCCGTACCATTGACAACAGGCAGGCCAACAACAGCAAGTCGTGGCTGGTCTGGTTGTGTGACCAACGAGGTAGGTTTTAAATAATTTATTAATATTAGCGTGTGGTGTATTGTTGGTAGCAAGCAGATAGTAAGTTGTGTAGTAATTGGTCAACAAGAGTTACCGGTATTGTAAACATCAACCGATTTTGTTGATAGTTACCCAGCCGTTGAGAGTTCTCAAAATGTTGGACAGATGGGTACGTCCATATAAAAAAAAAGGCTCGTTATATTTCGGGATATAGATCTAGACGTATACAAATTATTTACTGTTTTATTAATTGTTTTGATACACAACGGTAAAACTGCCAACAAGGGATTATTAATACACACATATCGTATCTACATACACACACTCATACCACACACACAAATAATTAGTTTATACACACACAGTCATACAAAGTCACAAACATTCACTTTATATATATATATATATATATATATATATATATATATATATATATATATATATATATATATATATATATATATATATATATATATATAAAACGTATAACCATACATGTGTAAATCTTTATATAGGACTGAAAATGACACGTGTATCTGGAGTGTCGGCTGACGTCTTGGCGCACATCCAAACTTTCTGGGAGAAGAAACAATTTTTGGATTTCACGGTCCAAATTGATGACGTCACAGTCGGCTGTCACCGCATCGTTCTGGCGGCTTGTTCTGGAATCTTCCGTGACTTTTTCAGCTTGGGGAGGGAGGGAGCAAGCGCCAACACAGCCACGGTGAGGGGAATAAGTTCGGGAACTTTCTATCTGCTGATGACGTGTGTGTACACGGGCGAGGCGGTGTTGACACGGGAGAATCTGGTGCACGTGTGGACAGCCGCTCACCTTCTGCAGGTGCAAGCTGTGCTTGACCTCTGTGAGCTGTTTGCCGTGAGTATATTGCACGTGAAGAATTTTGAAGAAATCGCCCAAACAGCAAGAAGACTGAACTCACGCAAGGTCTTGGAGGAAACGGAGAAGTTTACGTTGATGAACTTTGACCTTGTCTGTCGGACGAGGACATTCTTGGAGTTGTCTGACGAGGAAGTGAAGCGTGTGGTCGGGAGTCAGGCACTGGTGGTCAGCAGCGAGGATGTTGTGTTCGAATCTGTCTTAAACTGGGCGGAGTTTGTGCCAGACAAAACGGAACCTGGGGACAAATTTGAGATTTGTTTCACAACAACTCCAGAAAATGGACCACATCTTGCAGACGTTGAAACAAATGACAACGGCACCAAGAAGAATAAGTCGAGCTGTAATTGTGAGGACAATGTTGAATTAGTGCACGCACGCCACGATTGGTGTTACCATGGTAACCACTCAAAGACCAGGTCACCACTCCAGAACCGTGCGACAATTCTCCACGAGCTGTTGCAGGATGTCCGGACATTTCTTGTTGACCAGCCGCTTCTGCAGACGTCACTGACCAGACGGATGGTGAGAGACAACACAGACGCCGTGGAGCTGGTTTCAACCACCGTCAGGAACAAACAAGTGACCTACCGTCATGGCCAGTGGTCGTCTAGCGGTATCCACAGACAGGGGAGCCAACTCGCTAATTTCGGGGTTTTCACCAGAAGTGACGGTAAAATCAGCGCCCTCTCGGCTGTAGGTGAGCGGTGGTTCTACATCTCACTGGGCCACGAACTGCAGCACAGCGTGCAGCTGTGTGTGTTCGACAGCCAGCTGTTGGCTGTTGGTCTACAGAGCCACGCGCAGGAAAAATGTAAGCTGTTCGCTTTTGATGAGTACAGATGGACTTTTATAGCGGAGCTTCCTTGTCGTGATCCCATCCTCGTTTCACACGGCAATCACATCTACATCACTGACGTGAAAGCCGGGGAGATATACTATCTTAATCCCAGTATCGATACCGCTGTTTTATTTTTCGTTTCGATTCCAGCGAACTTTGATGTGAAATACGTCATGAGCTATGAGAGAAAACTTTTATTCTTCGGCAGCGTGTCGAAGGATCTGACCATTGTCCGTGAGCTGGACGTCGAGTCTAGGACCTGGACCAGCACGTCCAACCTCACAGGACCCGCCTCTAACATGACGAGCCTAAAGGACGACAGCGCCACCTACATCCTACAGCCAGACGGCGCCATGCGCACCGTCACAACAACTTCTGCCGGTCACGTGACCTTCACATTGGTGGCCAGGCTCTGGGAGCACGAGCTTAACATACGTGGCGCCATCACGTGTCAGGGGAAACTGATTCTCTACTTCCAGAAAGAGACCTCCAATGACGTGCGACACGGAGCTAAGAAGGAAATTCCTGGCATTTTCCGTCAGATTAGGTACTGGAGTACCACATACAACGGCTCACAGTTTCTACCTGTCGTCCTACCTAAGAGATTTCTGCTTCCTTTAGGATCTTGAAGATAGAAGTCACGTGAGCAGGGCTTCTGTCTGACGATATAAGTGGCACAGAGAGCCCAAACAATCAATGTGGTTCCACCAGAATTGTGTGTCTCAACCAATGACATTTGGGCCTACATAACATAATTCGTTGTGTAACGTTAACCTATCTATCAGCTAAATAGAAGGAGAACGTCCCCGGATTCTTTTTTCGGGGTCATATGCAAATGCCTTACGGCCTAAGTGGATGAACACTTAACACAACGACCCACTAGGGCTCGAATTTAATGTCTAGGGGAGCTAGTGATACTGTTGTAATTAACACTCATCCAATCTACATACGACCTTTTAATCAGCGAACTCAGTTGTGGCAGAACACAAAGATGAACTAGATAAAATATTTAATGTATAAAATATCAAGACACAACTTACAAAATGTAGGAAAAATCACTATCACATATTTCTACACTGTCAAAAGAACAGCCACAGGCCACACAACACTGCTGTAGCTTCAGGAATTACTTAGCGACAAGTAATATTAAACTAGAAGACTAAATCAACTTAAGAAAGCAAGGCACACACAGGTCTTAAGTACTCTCACGTTCAAATGGTCAGAGTCTATAGCCGGACAATATGGACGGCTGCCTGAACGAGGTAAAACGGCCCCGTAGACTACCAGGTCAAGAAAAACTGCCTCGTTTTGCGAGTGTGCAGGGCAATTAAAGACTTCTGTGACAGGGGAGGTTATCCTCAACTCATGTCGCCATTGGTTGGGATAATCATCTGATCAGAATCATTCAATCAGATTTTAATGGAAAATTTCTATGTCTCAAACACCTTAATAAGTCAGTGGAAAAACCCCAGGTGTTACACCATCATTCCATATAAGGAATTATACAAGTTCAAAATAAAAATGACTCGACCTAAGTAGGTCACAGTTGTTATTGTCATGAAAGAGACCCCCGCCAATTTATTACTGCCTGGACACTCTATGGCCATTCTTGACCACACAATGGCACTGGACAATGGGATGTGGTCGTCACTGAGTGTTGTACGTGCATCAAACACCAGATGCACCTAACCAAGTCATTAGTTCCTACATTGTGGTCTTAAATGGCGTAAAGGGGAACAACCGTGTTTTATAAATCTAGTAGGCAAGAGTGGCTTACCTTTCTACTTTGGATGTGTTAGTTACACATTGGATCGTAGAAGAACAGAAAAATTACACTAACATGAATACAAGAAAAGATGCAGTCAATAAAAATGAGACACGGTAAGAGAAAGTGAGCGATTGAGGGGGGGGGGGGGGGGTCGGAGGTGACGATCATAGACCAGAGAGAAAAGAAATGTTTTTATATGTCTATTTTTTAAATGGAACGATAACATCGGCAAATTAGCTAGATTACGTTATATATATTGCTAGACTGCGCGTGTTTATATACAATCGCTAAGTTATGTATATTTCTGTTGTAAATAAACATTGCTTGTGTCTTCTCGTGAAGCAATTTGCATTGTTATTTAAAAACTTTATCTGCAAAGTTTTGTAAACAAAATGTATCGATCACGGAGTTCCAGTACAGCCAATCAATATTAATTTGGCTTACGAAAGTGAAACATCCGGTTACTACTTAGGCTTGATGAAAATAAATAGAAATGTAGCCTTAAACTTTTCGGACTTTACTAAAGATTGGATGTATTTGATGTTTTTAATAAGAGATGCCTTGAAGAAACTCTACACTCAACAAATTATTTTCAAGTTCCCTGGATTTGCAACTTTTATAGCATTGATTCTAAAAATATAACATTTTCGAATGAATTTTACTAATTTTAGGCTTACGTTTTATTTTTATTTTTTTTATTTTTACATGTCGCTTTGTTTGCTAAATCTAAAAAAGCATGTTTTTATTCCATGTCAACAACATGATGGACGGATTCTCGTCAACTCGCTCGCCTCCATTATAATGATATTTTCTTCATTAAACAAAAGACGATGAATGCTCGCGAAATAACACTAGAATAAAGGTAAATGGAAATGTAAGCTAGCCGTAGTGCTTCCAATCACCAAAATACTTGCCTATCCTACTTCTGTTGATAATGGGGGCGTAACTTTCGTTGTCGTCAGATTAAGATATAAAATTAAAGTGGTTTCCCTTGAATTTATTTTGTAAACATCCTGATGAAAATTGCGCTCAAAAATCGGAAATTCCTTGTTGTGTAAGAGTTTTGCTCCAATTTTACTAGATCTAGATCTAGAATCTAGATTCTATCTACATCTAGTCTAGATCTAGATATAATTTTATGAACAGGTTAGTATTAAGTAGATTATTTATAAATCTGAATAATCATGAATACGTTAGTCGTTAGAAACGGTTAGATTTTTTGGTAATAGAGTCTAGATCTAGAAAATCTATATCGTTTTAGGTACGTAAAATCGCCCGCGACTAGATCTAGTAATGTGAAAAACAGGTGACTCCTTAAATTTTAATAATTATTTCACATTTTGAGGAGGACTTATGTTTTGAAAAATGTTCCCTTGTTTCATTTATGTACCTGTTTTGAAACAATTGAATTAAAACTTTTCAGTAATAAATGAAGACTAGCGATGTTTACAACAAATGCAATCATGCTCATTTACTATTAGTTTATTAGTATTATAGCAGCCATCTTGTTTATTTTTTTTTTTTCATAGTAAACTTACAGCGCAAGATTCAGGGGAAGCCACTATAACTTACAGATGGCCGCTTTTTATATAGATCTAGCAAATCCTGCTCGCAAACACTGCTGTTTAAAGATAATTTCTTGCCTATATAAATATAATTATATATTGATATAGATATAGATCTATTAAAAAAATATTAATTTAGCCATTGATTTAGGTTTATTATTCATTTATCTATAACATTTGACACAAATATATCATTATATACTTTAAAGCCTTGACAATGAGTTAGCTTTTTTTGTACATTACTAGCCGCGGGCGATTTTACGTACCTAAAACGATAGATCTAGATTTCTAGATCTAGAATCTAGTCTAGATCTAGTATTATTCTCTAGATCTAGACTAGATCTATATATTATATTTTTTATCTTGTCAATTCTAGTGGATTTATAATTTCTAGGCCTAGACCTAATAATTACTAATCTTACTAGATCTATGTCTAGGCTAATTTTAGTTACATTATTATGCTCTAACTAAATGGCTAAAGTAAATGGCTAATTAATATTAATATTAATCTCCTTTCAGTCCGTCAGGCCACATACCACGCACGCATAGTGTTGTGTGTCGTGCCTTAACAAAAATTATCTCACTTCATTATCATTAGATATATTTAATTAAATAATTAATTAATTAATTTGCTAATTAATAAAATTATGTATGATGCTATAGCAGTAGGTAAGTTATGGTAAGTATAATTTTTTAACTATGTATTTGTACTATTAAAGAAACAGTTTCGTTGTTTCAATACCACCCTCTCCCCTTCTTGAACTCAAAGTTAAACTTTTAACCCCGTTTGTAAAGACTAGCGGTATGCTGTAAGGCGGCGGGTGGGTAGGGTATATACTCATTGGAAAAAAAATCCACCGTGGTGCGTGTTATTGGCCTTGTGCCTTTGGTGACCGTTGTTGGCGCTTGCTGTGAGGGGGGGGGGGGGTACATTTAAAAAAAAAACAACAACCAAGAACTAGGCGTTTCAAGGCTGTAATGAAAATCAAGGACTGGTATAGCCATGATGTCGATTTTAACGAGTGATGCTTGCTGGGTCTATCATACGATTGCTTGGCGATGGGAGTCTCGTCAAGCTCAGTTTACATTATTAACAGTGAACTATAGGGATGCTGTCATGCACAAAGTAACAGCTATGCGACCCGTGTTCCTTTCAGACTTTTTTTCTTCCCGGGGGGGGGGGGGGGGTAGTGACACTGGTAAAATTATATTTTCTATATAAATTCTATTTCGTTATAGGGGGCAGTAGACGTTCTTTGGGGGGGGGGGGGGCCTCCTCCCTCTCCTCCCCTTCCCGAAGATTTTCCCGAAAGAAACTCAAAATGCGATTTTTGTCAAGTTTGAGGTTAGGTGCAATGTTTAGGTGTATGACTACGACTACGACTATATTTAGTATGAATGTGCAGTAACTTCGTTTAGATCAAGGTTAAATCCGGTTAAAATGCCGATTCTTGATAGAATTCCGTTTCAATTACAATTTTCTTTTCCGGTTAAATTTTAATTGGTGGTTTTGGTTTAGTTTTATAGAATACGACAACACAATCAACCTAGCGCACGTTGTGTTTCTTCCTCAACGGGCCATTTATCTAGTTTTAATGTAATCGTGCAAAAAATCGACGTTTTAGACCTACCTGAGTTGGAAAAACTCAATTTTGCTATGTTGTCTGTGTGTGTGTCTGTGAACACGACAGCTTGAGTACCGTTACAGATAGGTTAATGAGATTTCATACATAGGCCTAAGTATTAGTATTAGGTAGGCCTTTCTATTATATTTGATACAAATATTATAAATATAGAGTATAGACTATAGGCCTACCTATTTGTTTTTATATTATAGTTATAGAATCTTGAATACCAGTATTTAAGTAGGGCCTAATAGTATAGGTGCCTATAATATATATATATATATATGTATATATATATATATATATATATATATATATATATATATATATATATATATATATATATATATATATATATATATATATATATATATATATATATATATATTATATATAATAGTAGGCCTATATTATTACTAGATCTATAGGGGCTCCTCATTTATTTATTCTTCAATTTATATTAGGGTCCTATTACTATTTTAACCAGAGGCGTAGCGACCCTTCCCGGTGCCCGGGGACAAACTTTCGATTTGCACCCCCTTCGACCGAACTTTTCATTTGCACCCCCCCCCCCCTCAAACTTTGAATTTGTTTTTCCAACCCATTTTGGCGCGCCCCCCCCCCCCCCTAAGGTCGGCGCCCGGGGACATATGTCCCCCCCCTCGCTACGCCTCTGATTTTGGCCTATAGCCTAATTAATAGGGTCTTTTTAAATTGCGAAACGACGAGGCGGTAAAATGCGAGAAGGGCGCGTAAATGACCTTTAAACGTACGTGAACTCACAATAACTTCAAGTAGCCTACGTTTTACAAATGACTTGATTTCGGGAAAAGCATAAGTGACGTCATCAACACTCTTAGATAGCGATGTTTTTACTATGACGTATGGCGTGAGGCTGCTGGAATCTAAACCGATGTGAACTCACAGTGCGCCCTCGATAGTGTCGGTATTTTTCCCTCGCTGACAAGAAACGTAAGTCGTTTTTCACGCGAGTGATATTTTATTTAGATTTTGCATTCAACCCGACCATAAAAATAATAAAAAATTAATAACTTAAAGCCTAAAAATAAATCAGAAATTATTATTTTTTTTAAGAAACAATGTTATTAAAGTTGCAAATCCAGAGAACTTGTAAATAATTTGTTGAGTTTAATGCTACATTTCTATTTATTTTCATCAAGCCTAAGTTATAACGCGATGTTTCGCTTTCATAAGACAGACATTGATGGGCTGTACAAGAACTCCGTGATCGATTTCTGACAGCCCCACATCATAGTTTTTACTTTCTCGTATATACAAAGTCCTATAGAGAAAGTCTTGTAATCGTGCAAAAAAAAAAATCGAGATTTTTGCAAATCTCGACGAATTACTGTAAGTCCATGATTTAATTGATAGCTATGCTAAGTTCTGTTATTGATGAGAACTGTCATTTAAATTTATATAGGCCTATGTTGTATGCAATTACATCGTTTTTGGTAGCATTAAGATTTTGATGTAAAATCATATGTAACTAGTGGACTCGATTCCCTGTCCGCACGTCTTTTTCTGACCCGAAAGCCCATGTGAATGTCATAAATGGATGACCCCTAAGCAAATTGCTTTAAATTTTTATTTTAGATTAGAAGTTCAAAGGCATGAATATTTTAGCACAAAATAATGGTGTTCACGATTAATAGATTATTCTTTATTTCTTACAGACATTCAAACATTTGTTGTACTAAAGGCTAATAATAAATAAATTCTTTTCACAGATTTATCCATATTGCTGTTACTAGAATGAAAACTTTGACCGTGTCTCGAGGTGCATTTATTGTCGTAGAGGGCTGTGATCGCTGTGGGAAATCAACCCAGTGCTCCAAGATAATGGACAGGCTAAAGGCGGAGGGGACTGTGGCTGAGCTTTTAAAGTTTCCTGGTAGGTCTATACAAATTGACATTTGTTGACTATATGTCACTGTTAAATTCATTTTCACATTATTTTTAAGCTTTCCATTACTAATAGCATTCTACTTCCAGTAATAATATCTATCTATATATATAAAAAGCAATGTGTGTGTGTCTGTCTGTGTGTCTGTCTTTTATGCATGACTACACCTTTCATACTGTTGCAGTGAAACTTTGGAAAGTTGTTTAGAATATTCCTGGGGAGGTTTCTGCGACGAAAAAATTTCAAATCCGCAGGGGTGGTGCCCCGGCAGGGTGCGATTAGTTTTTTCTCTATATACGGTATACAAAAAATAAAAGTCAATTGCGGTTTGGCACCGTTCATCCAATCACCATCAAACTTCGGGCAGTTGATAAGAACACTCAAGGTGAAGTGTCTGTTAAAAAATCTTTTTTAAATTTGCAAGAATGGCGGTTCTTCTCTATATACGATAAATTAAAAATAAATTAAAGTCAGATGCGGTTCTACACCATTTATCAGAGTGCCATAAAACTTTAAAGGGTTCATGAATACTTCCGAGATGGTTTTTTTTGGGGGGGGGGGGGATTTAATTTTGCACTGGTGGCCTCCGACAGGATGCGATTTGTCCTGGTCATTGCAGTGAGCGCTGTGGCGACTATGTTAGTTCTAAACAGTGTGATAGACAATGGATAAGATGGGGTGTTACAGTAGCTCACTAAATTGAATCAGTCGTGTTCGCAGGTGCAATGGTAGGGTGTGATTTGGCTGCGAACAAAAATTTCAGTTTCGGCCCCTAAAGGCTCACATGGGCCGCTGTGGGCCCTGTAATGCATTTTTTAAAATAATCACATAAATTAACCAAGGTTAGATTATTAAATGGGTTGTTTCCAAACAGCTTCGTCACTTTGCGAATGATGCAATTAGCATCTAATTTTAGGCAATTTCAGAAATTGATTGAGCTTCTAATAATACACCATTTGTAACGCTAACAAATTGCATCAGTGACACTGATGTTTATAACACGTCAAAGTTTTTTTTTTTTTTTTTCGTACATGTTAAAGAAAAAACCGTGTTGATTTGTGTAACTTAAGCGAATGACACAATCTGCATCATTGTTTCAGGATACTATGTGGCGCTCTGGGTTATCCTGTGAGCACTATGGTGCCTATATTAGTTTTAAGGAGCCAGGGGCCGTATGCTGCTCCTCTGCGGTAGCGTAATTGGGGGCTCCCGAGAGCACTCCTATACATCCCTGACACATGGGTGGTCACCAAAGTGTGTTCTACCTCATTATTTCGGTGAGTGATTAACGTACACTCAAGGTTTTCGTGCGGTAGTGTAGGTAAACTCGTGTCCCATTATTTATGATCCAAGCGCAGGCATTGTTTACAATTAAATAACTCACTTTCAGAAAACAAGGTCACGCGTCTAAGAATATAGGATTGGTAACGCATGGATGAAATCCTTCTTATATATTTTGTCAGACTTTCTTCTGTTCCCGTGACAACGCGCGGACGGGTACGCTAGTGATTTGAATAAAAGGTGTTATAATATTTGTGTTTACTTACAGCATGAATTATTTAATTAATGCAGATTGATTTATTTATAAAACTAGGCCTAAACAAATTATATATATTTTCAAACCAGATCGCACAACTATCACAGGAAAAATGATCGACAGCTACCTAAAGATGTCAGAGGAAATGGATGATCGTGCGATTCATTTGTTATTTTCTAGCAACAGATGGGAAGCATTGTAAGCATTCATTATCTTTTCCTTTTTGTGCCTAAGACACATGGGGCAGACAACGTAGAGTTCATCTGTTTCAGAGACCTCGGCATGTGAAGAGATAATGTGGTCAGCACTATGCCCAGCCGCCTTTGTTTTTCCTAACATGAGTTTGGTACTCATCAGAACTGGGTGGACTCACGGATGCTACTGATTTAAACCTGGATTCAAACCTGTGACTTTCGGGTAAACAGTCTAGCTCTCTACTGCTAGGCCACACCATTCCATTGTAAGCATTGCATAATACTAATAAATGTAAGGACTGATACTAATTATTGCACTCGAGGATAATCTCGACAATTTTTTTTTGCACCTTTAGTCATATCTAGAGCCCTGGGGGTAGGGGGGGGGGAGTTAATATTCATTTTTCAACAATAGTTAATGGTAATGATAACAATTTGTCTTTGCTATCAACTATCAGTAAATTTTTTTACTTTATCTTTCTTGGTTTTTAAAAAAAATGTTTCTATAAACATAAAACTTCTATTTTCTAAAGCAATTTAAAACTAACACATTAGTTTATTTGGCTCCATGTACCAGGGCATTAATGGAAAAAAAATTGAAATCAGGGGTGACGCTGATTGCTGATCGTTATGCCTATTCAGGTGTGGCCTATTCTACAGCAAAGGTGAGTTTTAAAACAATATTCTTCTAACTAGCTAACTTGTTTACTCAACTGTGGACTGATTCTCTTCTTAAGTTAGCAGTTCCCAGATTACTTATTATTAAACCTTTACTTGCCTACCATGTTTGGCAAAAAAACAGATCCCACTGCTGTCATTCTACTTTTAGTGTCAGTTTTCAAAGAAACTAATAATGACAAATAATGACAGATGGTACATAAATTTGATAAATTACAATTCAGGGAATTAAAAAAAAACTATTAAAATTAATAGCACCAAAATATAATATGAAAAATGTAGGTTAAAAAACTCAGCTCTAGCTAGCTTATGGGGTGAGGTCAAAAGTATCAATATCAACAACATAATAACAAACAAGTGTCACCAAATATATTTACAAAATAAACCCGTTTTCAGCTTATTCTTGAAACTCTCCCCCCCCCCCCCCACACACACACATTCTATTTTTGAAAATATTCCAAATTTAAGTGATCAGAAAGACTTAAGTTTAAAAAAAAATAGAGGAAAAAAATAGAAATGTTAAAATGCATGATTTATCTTTCAAAATAGTCAACATTTTTCAACAATGTGAAACTGAAACTGATGGTTGAGTAGTTGCACTATTGTGTGGTTGATTAGGAGGCATGGGTTCATTTGTAATTAAGGATGTGCTGTCTTTTCTAATTTAATATTTATGATTTTTCTATAGGCCTATTTGTTCAGTTTTTTTTCCAGCATATAGGTTTATTTAGAACAAGATCTGTGTAAAATTGTTTTTTTATTTCTCAAATAGTTAGGTGTATAATTGCTTATAATGATGCGAGCCTAATAATTATCAGATTCTGAAATTTAAGTCTAAATACTAATAATAAATAAAACAGTTTGGCTCTTCAAAGATTAACCACCTAGTCAGCAGTTAATTTATTAGTAGTATATTATACATAGGCCTATACTCTAATAAGTATTAATTCAGTAGGCCAATAGTTTAATCTTTTTACAGGTGTAATTTAATAATATTGAATTCAAATAATAATAGGGATATTAAATTACATTAATAATAGGGCTATTAAATTATTATTTATCTATGTGTACTCTAAAGTCGATATTAGTCTGGCTCAGAGATGAGTAAATTGCAGTCCCATCATCTTGACAGTCGTATGCCTATCTTACTATCTAGATCTATAGCAGTATTGGCTAGTATAGCCTAAGTATTCTTTCTAGACTAATGATGTTATTTATTATCTAGTAGATCTCTATGTATTATTAAGGCTAATTAACTTATGTGGATCTATTTATTATAAGTTTTTGTTTAACTTGGTTCCTCCATCTATCAGTCGTCATGGGTCGAAGCAGCTGAGCAAAATTTCAATCACTTCTGACTAATTCGTTTCAAATTTGGTTCTTGGGTCAAGACCCAATAACAATGCAATGGACACGAGCGAGAAAACTCTCAAAGGGATTTGAGAGGTGTATAAATTAGTTTAAAAATCATGCACAGCGTAGTTACAATTAATATGGTTATAAAATCCTGTCTATCTGGTTTTTTTCGGACTTTACTAAAGATTGGATGTATTTGATGTTTATAATTTTTTCGGTAACTAAATAAAAATTTAAAAAAAAGCAAAAACAATTTGGTTTTCACGTGTAATGGCGACATAAACAATGGCATCCTGCTATTGGATAGGCCGTCATTGATTTTATTGTACACATTGTAAGCTAAAAATAGAAAACTAGGTCATGGGGTTTTTAATTTGCATTGTTATTTAAAAACTTGATCTGCAAAGTTTTGTAAACAAATAGTTATCGATCACTAAGTTACTGTACAGCCAATCAATATTTGTCTTACGAAAGTGAAACATCCGGTTTTAACTTAGGCTTGATGAAAATAAATAGAAATGTAGCCTTAAACTCAACAAATTATTTTCAAGTTCTCTGGATTTGCAACTTTTATAGCATTTATTCTAAAAATATAAAATTTCTAAATTAATTTTAGGCTTAAGTTTTTATTTTTTATTTTTTTTACGGTCTAAATCTTAAAAAGCACGTTTTTATTCCATGTCAACAACATTGGGGACGGAATCTCGTCAACTCGCTCGCCTCCATTGGACTTTATGGGATGCCAAATTAATTTTGTATGAATTAATTAAAATTTCACATATAAATGTACTTTTTAACCTTCTATTTTACGCGGATTTTTCATGTTCATTTGGTGTGCAATAGTTTTTAGTTATGCAACTCTATCATATTAAAAATTTTAAGCTACTAAAAAATGCATGTTTTCATATGTATTTTTCTGATGCCATTTAAAAAAAAATTCCTCAATTTTAATTAAAAAAATGGATGCTTATGTCAATGTTTGTTACTGAAAATTAACCCTAAAAGTAGAATGTTGGCAACTGAATCTCTTTTTTGCCTTCCTTTCAGAGGCGTATCCAGGTTTTCGTTGTAGGGGGAGCGAAAAGAGCAAAAAAAGGCGCCGAATTTTTAACACATTCTATATACGTGTATTTTATATATATATATATATATATATATATATATATATATATATATATATATATAATTACTAGCTGTATGTCATTACATCGCTTTGATGGATGTAAAATAAATTGAAAGTAGCACTCTGAAGAAATAAGAAAAAAAACACACAATGTAGGCCGACAAAACAAACATTGTATCAATGTAAACAAAAAAGCAAACAAAATATACACACACTACAACCAAAACAATGAACGTAACACAATCTGTTTTGTAATTCTTGTAAAAAAAATTCTTACATAATAATTCCTGGGAAATTATTTAAGACAAGTGAAATAGGGGAAATAATTACTCTCTTAATATAAATATGTATATATCTACACATTTAATTATAAATGTCAAAACTAATACATAATTACTTTAGAATGTAATGAAATTATTTAACGCTATTCGTGTTAACAAAATGTTTTTGTCTATAATCAGAATTTAATATATCGTCATCATAAATGCTAAAGTATTACAGCATAATGAAAGTTTTTGAAAACAGAGTTGGTATAAAACCACGCTTTTCGATAAAAAAGATAAACATTCGGAATAACAGCCTACATTTAACTAAATATCGGTCTTTTAGTTCAGATAATATATTTTTTAAATTACTACTGCTTCTTTGTGTTCCTTAAAGATTATTTTTTAACATAGTGATAGGTATGGGTTAGATCACTGTATTGCTCACACACCTTTTTACTGTCCGGACACTTTAGGTCAATTATCCTACCCAGTGTATACCTAGGTGTGACATAAATGTCGCTCTACACAATTGTGGTGGTGAGGTGGGGGGGGGGGAGATAACCAACTCAGAGTGAACATAGCGTCAGTTTTTAGATGACTGTTCTAAACATACATATATATTACACGTGTATACTGATTCAGAAATAGATTTAAATAAGTAGCAGTGGTATTATGACAATATTTTTTTTACAGAGGGGTCCATGGGGGAGGGGGGTTTGTAACTGTTTCATATAATTTGTAATCGTAATCACTGTTGCCCAAACTGTAACAATACTACTACTTTATCGTGATGACGATGTTGACCGTGTCAAAATATCCCCACCGCTACGCAGTTCGCCCATAAGAAAATTTAAATAGAGGTGCCACACCAGTTGTGTGTTTCTGTATTGTAATTTTCAAAAAATTAATCACACGATTCAAACTGTATATATAAAGTAATTATGTGTGAAGTTTTATGTATAACATTTTCTAATGCAATTATTCGTAAGCAAATACATTATACAGTTGCCTTAAACTTAACACCCCTCTTGCCAAGTGGTACTACCGGTAGAGGATTTTTAAAAATTTCAATGCATCGTAATGGTTATTTTTAGAATGGCAAACTGATGCAGCTGTTAATACGTGTTGTAAACGTAGACACTACTAGACTAGTACAATAATGCTTAATTGCTGCATGAAAAGAAATCTTGTGATTTACATAGATGTGCCGACCAAATATATTTTTTCAACAATTATTGTTTAAAACTTTGAGTTTAAAAAGTTTCCAAAAAGGCGCCACTTTGCTGAAAATGGCCAGAGGGGGAGCGGCCGCTCCCCCTGCTCCCCCCCTGCGTACGCTACTGCTTCCTTTTGTAAGTGGAAGTTAAAAAGTGACAGCAGTAATACAGTTTTTGAAATTTACTCCTTTTTTTAAATTAGTGTAATGATAATATTCAGATAGAAAAGCGTGAAATAAAAGTTAATACCCACCTGTTTAAGAATCTGTCTAGACCAGGGGTCGGCAACCTTTTGAAGCGGAAGAGCCAAAAATTACAATTTTCAAAATTTTCCTGGTTTTAAAGAGCCACTAACATTTTTTTATTTCAAATATTTTATTTTTTGATTAAGATTATTAGTAATTGTGCAAGGAGCTGGAGAGCCGCATCTTACTATCAAAAGAGCCGCAGGTTGCTGACCCCTGGTCTAGACTTCAATATAGAGTAAATAATTTCGTTATAAAATTTCTTAATATTTTATTCAAATGTGAATCAATGACTGTTGTATAGTTGAAGTTGAATTATTGATGAAAGTATAATTTGAATGAATGGTTGTCTAGGGTCTGGACATGGACTGGTGTAAGGCACCAGATTCTGGCCTCATCAAGCCAGATGCTGTGTTGTACCTGAACGTTAGCAATGATGTGGCGGCACAGAGGTCTGATTATGGAGGGGAAAGATATGAAAAGCGTGAACTTCAGCAAAGAGTACACAACATATTTCTACAGCTGTTTGACTCATCCTATTGGAAGGTGATATTTTTATTCTTTTTGAAGGCTTTTATTACATTCACTGTTTGTTTAACCACAAATCTTGGAATAGTAATTTAACCCTCTTATTGTCTGCTCTTTATTTTTCAAGAAAATTGTTTAAAGTTAAGTTCACAGTGGTTTAGATATCGGTAGTGTAGGCCTATAGCATACGTCATACTACTCATAGCAAGAACAATTCTTATTAAAGATTTTCCCTTGTGGCCTTACACGCTGAGTTTCGCAACGTTTTTAATTTTTTAAATTAGTCAATTTCTTTAAATTTAAAAGTAACATGAGTAACGTAACGTCGCTGACTGTCATCATTATGCTCGTGAGCTTTACGATCGTATAAAATTGGTCTTATTTAAATTTTATAAAAAATGTGAAGAAATACTGAAAGTTACGGACAGTATCCAATTATTATAGAAAATCTATACTCATTTTACGGAATTTTTTTTTGGAGTAGGCATCCCTGAACCGCACATTTTTACAAGCCGAAAAAGGGTGAGGGGACATTGACCGCGATAGTTCTCTAAAACAATTCATGGTATTTCAAGTTAATATTTTATAAATTTCAAATAATTGAAACCAAAGTTTATAAACAATGTGATCTAGACCAAGCGCCTAATTGGTGCTTCTCTACCCCAAATATTTAGGCCTAGAAAAGATTTAGCTGAAAATATAAAATTTATAGCATAGAAAGGTACACATTACATGTTATTGAAGTAGTAATTTGGCAGCACGGTTTGAGAGATTTATTAAATTTTTGTGGACGTCATAAATGGATGACCCCTAAATTTCATGAAAAGGTGCAAACTTTTGTTATTAGATACTTAGACAACTTTATTTCGATATACTTATAGACTTTACTTGTTAAACACAAAAAAATTTGGCCTTGAGCATTTTAAAAATGGGCCAAAATTTTGTAACAGGCAAAAATTCAATGTAAGAAACTAAGTTATGTTTTCCAGTCATTCCTTGAAAGAAGGGTGTCAATTGGTGAGTTAGGTTATATGTGTAAAGGGGCAGGTGGTGGGTTGGCCCAGATGCTCTGCTCCATGTTTGAAAATTCATGTTTTTAATTTTCCAGTCAGTTAATGGAGATTCAAATGTGGAAGAAGTCCATGAAGACATTTATAAATTTGTCAGGACAACAATTGAGGAATCTGAATATAAACCTTTATGCAAACTTTGGACATAGAGATTGTTGTAACCTCTTATGGCGCTGTTAACTTGACTTTCAATGTTGGATATATTTGATTGTTATTGATTCTACATGATTTTTGTGTAATTAATATTTTGTACATTAATGTGAATGTTGTGCATTCAGCTGAATTTTGATGTAAAAATGTTGTATTTAGCCATGTGTAGTGTAAAAATTAATTTAAAAAATATGTTATTTGTGGCATTACATACTTTTTGTCTAAAATGTTTACTATTTGATTGTTACATATCCCTTAGATAACCAAGCAACCAATTACTAGGAATATGATTTATTTTTGTAAAATTGTACACATTTTTAAAAATGTTTCTCCTTCAGTGCTTCTAAAAATATTATAGTTATATCCTAGCATTTGAATTACCCAACTAATTTGTCACTATTTGAATTGTACCTGCCTTAATTTTGACATACCTTTCCTAATTATGAACGGACCTACCTGTAATTGTTAGTAATCTAGAGATCAGATAGTTGTGTTACAGTTTTATGTAGCTTTCTTTTACCAAAAGATGTTAGGTTGATTTTCTTTAGCTTTTACTTTTTGTGTTCACAATTACACTGAAAATAGTTTGTTTGCTGCACCATACTTTGAATTTAAAATAGTATTACCCCTGCTGTGTTCATACATAGGGCTACTGTAAATTGCACAAAATACAATAAGCTATAATAAAACTTGGAAAATGAAAAAAAAAACAACAACTGAAATTTGTTCCTTAAATTCACCAAACTTGTATAGACAAATAGTCTCACCAATGGACTAGTCTTGCTGTAGACATGTTATCCAAATAGTCTCACCAATGTACTAGACTTGCTGTAGACATGTTATCCAAATAGTCTCACCAATGGACTAGACTTGCTGTTGACATTGACATGTTATCCAAATAGTCTCACCAATGGACTAGACTTGCTGTAGACATGTTATCCAAATAGTCTCACCATTAGAATAGACTTGCTGTAGACATGTTATCACTGTCTTAAGTCATCTGTTGCTTGAGTTATAAAACTTTGAACTGCATTGATGTGTTTGTTCAAGCGGTTTTTTAACACGTACGATCCAAAAAATAAAGACAAGACAGTCTTCTTGTTGCTGATGTTAAAACTGACTTTAGTGTGGCTGCTGTACGTTTTTGCCGTAATTTTAAAACCCGCCAGAAAACTGAAACGTGTCGTTCAATCTAAGATTGGGGGAAGGGGGCAGTAGACGTTCTTCAAAAAGATGCCTGAAAGAAACTCTAGTGGTTATAGTCCACTGTGCACTTTCTATTTGGGAAATAAATAAACAAGTTAATAAAAAGTCTAGTGACAATTTAGGCGCAATTTCCTTATGTTATCCATAACAATTTTTATTTGTTTTGTGACCGAACGAAAGGATATTTACGACTTAAAGCTGCGGACACACATCCATCCATCCATCCAGAAATGATGCATTATTAAACGCAATTGCCAGTATGGAAATTGCGCTAAAAATTAACACTGACTGCATGTGTTTAGTTCCCATGTCATTTGACAGGGTTAGTAAGACACTGCCATCACGGCCAGCTAGGCACACAAGCCTTTTAGTGAAAACATTTCGTATTATTTTATATACTCCGAGGCCACTCTTCGCCATAAAGTAAAATTACGCCAAATATTTTAAATTAAATCACATCTTTATTTAACCTATTCCATTGCTATTAAGTTAAGCAAAGATTTATATGAAACTAGACGACCCAGTTTCCAGTTCAGAAACGGCCTGTCGGCTGCACAACACAAACCAAAATAGCATTATGCTGACCACACCCTTTATAGTCTTGTAAAACCCAAATGAATCCTATTCTTATACCCGAACTCCCGCCAAGTTTCTTTGGGACATACATTTATGACGTCCATACAGGACAGGAGAGGGTGTCATAATGTAGTCGAGTTTTGTGGACTCTAGTTGCTGGAGAGGGGGGGGGGGGTCTGTTGGCTATGCGGTAACTTTCACACAACAAATATAACATTCGCATTCTACTACGATAAAAAGCAACAATTAAAATATCGATTTTTATATTAATCAACAAAACACATTTTTTACTTTTTTAAATACACATACATATTCATTGCCTTAAATAATTCCGTTAAAACACCGGTTATTTATTGGTATTTTTTAAAATTAAAAAAATGTTTTATATATTTTTATTTTGCCGACAAAAAATTATTTCTTAGTTGTCCATGCCTTCACGAGAAAATATTATATAGAATCTTTATATAAAGCAAAGTGGTCGGATGCTGGTTAGGGCACTTGCCGGCGCCGCATTCGCTTCAAATTTGGCACAGAGTATCCACAAACATGCAAATAAACAAACATACAAAAGGACGTTGCGAACTTAATAAAAGCCTGTAAAACATAGCCAATACGATTTCGGCTTGAAAACTATTTTTAAAACACAATTTCAAAGCATAAAATGTGGCAAGTTCTAGGGTAATACTGTCAAATATTGTCTCCCGAGAACATTTTTTAAAAAGCAAATAGCTAGGCTTATCTTTTATATTGAAAGGCCGCGCTCGTCATTGAATGAAATCTGCTGCCACTCGACAAGAATTTTGTAAAAACCATCGCCCTAAATCACATCAAGAGTTTTTTAAATATTCCGCGGGCTTGGGCAGCATAAACTCTTGAGGGCATGGGCTGCATAAGCACACATGCTCTGTACCCGGTTAAAAATGTTTCCGACAAAAGGGTTGAATGGACTGGTGAGATTTGTGAAGTATCCGCTGAAAAAATACAAACTGTATCCGCTGAACAAGACGAACCAACTGTATTACCTCTACAAAGACGAACCAGCTTTCAGTCGAGCTGGCAAGTTTTTTTTTTAAAGAACGAGAATTTGAAGCCAACAACTCATGGTGCTAAAAAAAAAAGAATTCAAATGGCAGAAAACTATAGAAATGCTTGAATAGATGATGCACATATTTTCCTTCCAAGTTTTCTTCGACAATTAAAATTTTTAAAGCGAATCGAACTTTTTATAAAATTTCTCATCATCACAAGATAAAAGTGATTTTAAATGCAATAAATAACGTTAAAATTTAAAAGCTTTTAGTGTTGGAAGTAAAAAAAAAAAGTTTCATATTTTATTAGTTACCTCCCTTTATCGATTCAAATAGTGACCAAAAACATTTTGTTTTGACAAATATATCAATAGATGCTGAAATGTTGTTTTAGTTAATTTTAATTTATTCTATGACATCAAAAACTTAAAATGTACACACTGACCTGCTGAGACATAACAAGACCCGTCCTGAGTAATAAATTACATACATTACAATCTACGACGGTCCCCTGCCTATACTACGACGGTCACTACGACGGTCCCTGTCTGCACTACGACGGTCCCCTGCCTATACTAGGACGGTCCCTGTCTGCACTACGACGGTCCCTGTCTGCACTACGACGGTCCCTGTCTGTACTACGACGGTCCCTGTCTGCACTACGACGGTCACTACGACGGTCCTCAGTCTGCACTACGACGGTCACTACGACGGTCCCCTGTCTGCACTACGACGGTCCCCTGTCTGCACTACGACGGTCCCTGCCTGTTCTACGACGGTCCATGTCTGCACTACGACGGTCCCTGTCTGTACTACGACGGTTACTACGACGGTCCCTGTCTGCACTACGACGGTCCCTGTCTGCACTACGACGGTCACTACGACGGTCCCCTGTCTGCGCTACGACGGTCCCTGTCTGCACTACGACGGTCCACAGTCTGCACTACGACGGTCCTCAGTCTGCACTACGACGGTTACTACGACGGTCCCTGTCTGCACTACGACGGTCCCTGTCTGCAGTACGACGGTCACTACGACGGTCCCCTGTCTGCACTACGACGGTCCCTGTCTGTACTACGACGGTCCCCTGTCTGCACTACGACGGTCCCTGTCTGTACTACGACGGTCCCTGTCTGCACTACGACGGTCACTACGACGCTCCCCTGTCTGCACTACGACGGTCACTACGACGGTCCCCTGTCTGCACTACGACGGTCCCTGTCTGCACTACGACGGTCCACAGTCTGCACTACGACGGTCCTCAGTCTGCACTACGACGGTCACTACGACGGTCCCCTGTCTGCACTACGACGGTCCCCTGTCTGCACTACGACGGTCCCTGCCTGTTCTACGACGGTCCATGTCTGCACTACGACGGTCCCTGTCTGTACTACGACGGTTACTACGACGGTCCCTGTCTGCACTACGACGGTCCCTGTCTGCACTACGACGGTCACTACGACGGTCCCCTGTCTGCACTACGACGGTCCCTGTCTGCACTACGACGGGCCACAGTCTGCACTACGACGGTCCTCAGTCTGCACTACGACGGTTACTACGACGGTCCCTGTCTGCACTACGACGGTCCCTGTCTGCAGTACGACGGTCACTACGACGGTCCCCTGTCTGCACTACGACGGTCCCCTGTCTGCACTACGACGGTCACTACGACGGTCTCTGTCTGCACTACGACGGTCCCCTGTCTGCACTACGACGGTCACTACGACGGTCCCCTGTCTGCACTACGACGGTCCCTGTCTGCACTACGACGGTCCCCTGTCTGCACTACGACGGTCCCCTGTCTGTACTACGACGGTCCCCTGTCTGCACTACGACGGTCCCTGTCTGCACTACGACGGTCCCCTGTCTGTACTACGACGGTCCCCTGTCTGTACTACGACGGTCCCCTGTCTGCACTACGACGGTCCCTGTCTGCACTACGACGGTCTCCTGTCTGCACTACGACGGTCCCCTGCCTGTACTACGACGGTCCCCACCCACGCCGCACCAAACACGTCACACCTGCTCCAGCAGGTAGACGGCGGCGTAGACTTTGGGCAGGAAGAGAAAGACCAGCGCCACCGTGTGGTTGAGGATGAGCGAGACGGAGAGCAGCAGCACACGGACGTACTCACGTCCAGCCGTGAAGTAGGTGGGGATGAAGGCCAGCCAGATGACCAGCGTGGTGGACACGCACATCGAGATGAACCGGGACTCGTTGAAATTGTCGGGGAGTTTCCGGCTCTTGAAGGCGAAGACGGAGCAAAGGGAGACGAGGACGAGGTTGTAGGTCAGGAAAGTCACGAGGCCAGGGAAGGTCAGGTCGCAGGCGAGTTCAACGAACTTTTCTGTCAGCACGGGCTGGGTGGCCTTGGCTGTTGGTCTGTAGGTCAAGGTCACGTAGATACATAGTAGAAGCTGTGGGGGAAACGACAACGTGATATAGACAATATATAGACAAGTGATATAGACACATATTTTAAACACATGTTATAGACACATTGTGTTTTAGAGCTCATATATCTAAAACTCAGAAAAAACAAACATCAAATAAATCAGTTGCATTGAACACAATTTTTATGTTCTGATATAAATGTTGATCATAGTTTACATACGGCCATGTGTGTGTGGTCTACACTACATGCATGAAACAATACATCATATACACGCATGAAGCTACATGTCCTATACACGCATGAAACCACGCATCGAATACACGCACGAAACTGCACATCATATACACGCATGAAACCACACATCCAATACACGCACGAAACCACACATCCAATACACGCACAAAACCACACATCGTATACACACATGCGTGTATGCATCCTATACACGAATGAAACTACAATTTCTATACACGCATGCGTGTACGCGTCCTATTAGCTCATTGCCCCAACCAAAACCACATCCGTCACTACAATTAAATCTCTTCTAAATAACTCCTACGCTAGATTTTAATTAATGTCAAGAAAATGAGTTTTAATAACCACTCCCTTATTTAATTGTAGACTGTAGAACATGGCCCAAGGCTCATAAACTTACATTTACTCAAACAAACTGCTGAAACATTTATGTAAGTCTGACATTTTTTGCCAGATTTTCGCGAATGCTGCTTATCTTCTTAATCGATATTCTTAAATGGCATGCTAACCATAGGCATTCTAGATTGTCAATAATGAACGAACGTTAAATGACATCAAATTATTCTATTAAAAAATTATTCCTACGAAGATTGAACTAATCAGCCATAAATTTGGATTGGATCTGACGCCCGGAATTTTTTTTTATTCGTCACACACCTGTCCACCGTCCGTCAGTCACCCCCCCTCCCACCTACCTGTCACATTATGACTGACCATAACGATCTCTAACATTTTACCCCCCCCCCCCCCTTTCCCACCTATCCCAGTCTGACTTTAGGACTCTCGTCCTTTTTTTATTCACTTAATAGAACAAAAGCCATTTGACTGTCATACAATACAAACTTCTGTTCTACACGGCTGAATTCATGAATGGTTAATTCACGAAATTTTCCACGAAACTTTTAACCAAAATTAACCTTTAAGTTACGAAATTATTTTTAAAAAAAAAGGAAATATTTATAAAGGAGAAATGAATAATTTTTAAACCTAAAGGCCAATAAAGATTTTTAAACAGAGGTGGCGAAGTGAAGAGTTGTCTTCTTGAAATTATCCATTAAATATTCATATTGTTTTGAAGAAGCTGCACACAAATAGGCCTACATTTTTATAATTTTGAGCTGAGGATATTCAACATTTTCTCATTGGCATAACCAAGTGAAAACTTCAACTTTAAGCTATAGTTACGTGTGTGTGTGTGTGTTAGTGAGAGAAATGTTGTGTGTAGTGTTTGTTGTGTGTGTGTTGCGTGTGATGTGTGTTAGCAGAGGTGTAGCGAGGGGGGGGGGGGAGGCCGGGGAGAGTAGATATGTCCCCGGGCGCCGACCTTAGGGGGCGCCAAAATGGGTTGTAAAAAATATATATCGGGGGGTGGGGGTTGCAAATTGAAATTTTGAGGGGTGGGGTGCAATTGAAAGTTTGAGGGGGTGGTGTAAATTGAAAGTTTGAGGGGGGGATGCTAATTGAAAATTGAAAGGTTGTTCCCAAGGGGGGCGCCATATTGAAAGTTTGTCCCCGGGCGCCGGGAAGGGTCGCTACGCCTCTGTGTGTTAGTGAGAGAAATGATGTGTGTGAGGGATACATGTGTGAAAGCCAATTTAACTAGACTGTGTATATCAGACTTATATCAAATTGTCATATTCTCTACTGCGTGTCTGTAGGGATCATAAAGTTTCGTCTCTTACCCGGGAATCACGTGATACCAACCAGTCATGTGACCTGATCACGTGCTATAAAATTCGACCAACCAACAGCAACTAATCGTTTTTTTTTAAGTGTCACTTTCACGTGTGACAATAATCGCGTGTCACTGTCAGCTGCTTGTGTCACTGTCAGCTGCTTGTGTCACTGTCAGCTGCTTGTGTCACTGTCAGCTGCTTGTGTCACTGTCAGCTGCTTGTGTCCCCGCTAGACTAATTTGCCACATGACATTTTGTCAAACTAAAAGATAACTCGCTTATCGACTCCTCTAATACAAACATTTCTGTTTACGTTTCCCGTGGTAAAATATTTGCGATCTTTCAGATGTTACGAACATTATACTAGCACGTAGCGAGATTTCTTTATTTGGTTAAGATGTGGTATTATAATTAGATTTCTTTATTTGATTAAGATGCGGTGTTTGAATTTAAAATGACTGCACGTAAGTCGCCGTGCATAAATGGTACACCCCCCCCCCTCCTTCCAAATGTGGTTTCTTTTAGACATTTATCCCCGAGAGAGGGGGCATTGGGCACGTAACATTGCCGGGAGTGGAGGGGGGGGGGGGGTGGGGTGGGGGGGTGGGAGGGGGTAAGTGGGTGGGAAGATTGAGAGATGTCTGACAGGAACAACTCCTCTCATCATTACACCCTCCACTAAATTTTAATTTCCAGGTTTTAAAATTTAGATGGGTAGCTTAATTAGAAATTGAAAATGGAAGCTACTCACACACAGGTAAAATTAAAATGCAGCGAATATTACCTGGATGAGGATTAACCCCACCGATAGAAGAGTCAGTGACGCCTGGCCCACGAGTCTAGTGAGTGACGCGTTGTTCATGACTCGATATATCCTGACGACCTTGACCAACACAGGTGAGTACAGAGAGGTCAAACTCAGGCAGAACGTGAAGTACAGCACACTACACATCTGGTGTGTCGGGTAGGTCTGGAGACACACGACCGTCACACAAGCAACGAGTAATGCTGGGAACTGAATTAGGCTGAGGTCCCGGCTGGCTGCTGCTATGATAGGGTGATGACGTAGGTGGATGAACGCCCCCAACACACCACAGCTCAAGATGGCGAGGAGTAGGGCCAGGATGATCTGAAGCAGCGACAACACGCTTGTGATTTCCGGCCGCGTTAACGGAATTGGTGAGCAGGTGGTGAGGTTAGAGTCGGCGTCAGGCCAGCTGAGGGCAGGACATTCCTCACACCCCCCGGGGGTCGTCTTCTCGTTGTTCCGGCACGCCCGACACTCCCAGCAACAGAGGGGTTTCTTCTGGATCCTGTACTCGCCCGACACACACGGTCGGCTGCAGACTGACTCCGGTGGCGTCATGCTCCTCCCTGCGTCAGACGCTCGAGGAGTCGAACTATTCCCTAAATCAGTTACATAAGTTTTTCCTGCGTCAAATTCTTTCAGATGACTCCAGGAAATGGCATGACTTGTGTAGGTCAGTGTTTGGTCCGCCTCGTCATAGAAGGCCACTTCAAGTTTTCTGAACCCCCCTGGTGACACGAACCCCGGCCCCCCGTACCCCAGGGGCGTGGCGTCACCACCGTCAGTCACCTGATGCACCACGTACCTGCCCACAGAGTCACCGTTCTCGTCAAACTGTACACGCCCACTGTAGCCTGTGAACGACAGGTTCTGCAGATAGTGATGCAGTAGCTCAGGCTTCACGCATGCGCGGACTCTACTTCCGCTGAAACCAGGACACACACCGGAAATGAGTTTATGTGCGCCGTGTGCAAGTGCTAACACCGCGTCCATCTGAAAAGTTGAGTACGTTTTAAAATCCAGCCTGGACATGCTGACGTCGTCGATGACTTCATCACAAGTGCCAGACTTGAACGAGCAGCCGTTCAGACTTTCCCAGTTGGGTTTGAACCAGGGGTTTGTGGAGTTTGAGATGCTTTGTCGCTGGATGTAGGTGTAGAAGTCAGGCACGAGCGGGGCGTAGAAGGAGAAGAAGAAAGCTCCCATGATGCCGTCTTTCACCGGAAGTAAAACTTCCATGGCCGCGTTGTCCACGGCGTCACTGGCGACCCAGATAAAATGCCCCGTGGCGTTGAGACGGTCCACTGACGTCACCAGCCGGACAAAATTGTCCGCCTCTAGGAAAACGATGACGACACGCGCTGACCGGAAGTTGAGCAGTGTCCGAGCTGTGTCGTCTGTGTCCTCGCTGGCCTTGACCCGGGTCCAGGATGCCAGGCAGATGCGGAAGTCGGGCGCCAGGGTGGCGATGGTGTCCATGGCGCGCTCCCCGTAGGCGCCCTCTATGTACACCACGGAGACGTAGCTCCAGCCGTGCCTCGTTATGAAGTGCAGTATCGCTTTAACCTGGAACTTATCAGGGCCGATCACTCTGAAAAAGTAAGGATGGATTTTTTTATCGCTGAATTCATCCGACGACGTCACGGCCCCTATGAGGGGGATCCGAGCGGGGGTGTAGACCAACGAGACGGGGGCGGCGGTGCTGCTGCGTAGGGGCGCCAGCACGCCTATGACGTCATAAGCCGCCAAAATATCGTCTGCACAAACTGTTGGTGCTTGACTTCTCCAAACGCAGCTCTCGTCTGACCTGGGTATGAAAGACAGCGACTGAGCTAAGGCGACCGCGGCCAGCGTGCAGTCGTTGAGGATGTGGTACCCTAGGGTGATGTTGGGAAGCAGGTCGGGTCTGTCGTTGACAGCCTGGACAGCAAACGCCACGGACTCCGTGTACTCCAGCGCCTTCGAGCCTTTCCGGATGTTGGGGCTACAGACACCGGCGGACGCCGCCTGCGTTGCCATGACGACGGCGCCAATGTTGATGTCGCCTGGTTTAGAGAACACCCTCCTGTCGATGTTTTGGAATTTAAACTCACCTGCACTGTCTGCCGTACACAAGTAACTCTCCGAAAGTATCCAGAACCAGACACAGAACGACACATCTTTCAGTAACCAGACTTGTCCAGTAACCTCCATGGTGGGCTAAAAATTTCTGCAGTAACCCAAAGTAGCAGGTTACTAACCTGAAGTATCCCAAGTAATAGGTTATCGTAATTCTAGACCACAGCAATAAAATTCCACAAACTTGTTTTACACGCTTGATTTAACTATTTAATAACTCTCATTAATTAGAGTCTGGTATTGATTGGGTTAACAAAGTACTTATCTAAGATGGCTATCGCAGCCAGCCCTGGGCAGTTTGTCCAAATCACGTGATACACCAGCAGACATCTCACCATCTGATGGGACCACCACCCCACAAGTAAAACACAATGAGAGCGGGAGGTTTCTAGTCCGCAGCTAATCTATATACAGCTTCCGTTTTAATCCCCCCCCCCCCCACCAGCCCTCCACCATCGCGTGCTAGTGTACGTATTATTAAAGCAATTAGCGCGCTGCGCAGATGTAGATGTTTCTCTAGGCTGTGTGTGGTGGGGAGGGGGGGGGGGCGTCACGCATCTTATATACCATTATACCTATATACCTACATATACATACATATATATATGTGTGTTTATATATATATGTATATATATATATATATATATATATATATATATATATATATATATATATATATATATATATATATATATATATATATATATATATACACACACATTTATTTATTTATTTTTTGTAGGGCATACTGTGCTTAGTTTAATTTTGAAAAAGGCGCGGCCTAAGACCGAGTTCAATATTACCATTGTGTCGTAAAAATAAAAACAATTTTACATGCAAGGGAAACAACTAAATAGAATAAATGAAAAAATTCTAATTGAAAAAAAATTATATACTTATACACCATAGTTAATACAGTTTTTTTTTTAAACGCATACAATTGATAAGAAAAGTCAGCAAAATGTATACTACTTGATATTATACAAAAATAAATGTTGTACTGTATTTTTGTTTTGATTATGGACACCTTAGTTTAATTTTAAAAATCATTGCTTATGTATTGTTAAAATATGCATAAGTATACTAGTTGATTGATATGCTTATACATAATTTCGGAATCCCTTACTAAAGGCTTGTTAAAAAGGGACTAAAATGATTTTAAAATTCAGGTTAGTACAGGGGTCGGCAACCTTTTGAGACGGAAGAGCCAAAAATTACAATTTTCAAAAATTTCCAGTTTTTAAAGAGCCACTAACATTATTTTTTCAATATTTTGGTATTTGATAAGGATTAGGTAAATAAATTTGCTTTTTGATTTGAAATAAATATATACAAATGTTTCGCACAAAAACTGTTTTAGCTAGATCTGCTATGATAAAATTAGTAATCACATAATATAACTATATGACTATCGCAATCCACTTTAGAAGCCCATATCTTATTTTTCTTTCTTTACGGACACCGCTGGTTCAGTATGTATCTTTCACGGCAAACTCTGACTAACTGGTTTGGAAATCGGTTTGATTACTGTATCGGTCGCTTCTGTCTTTCGGTTCTCTCTTTCACCCTATACGAACCCAGTACCTTATAGCTCAACCGTAGTAATCTAATAACTAAAATACTTCGTCACTCAGGTCAAATTAATGCATACTGACAGGTAGAGAAATGCATTCTTAATAAAAAATAACATTCGCCATTTAACGATATTCGAAAAAGGCGGCACTTCAACAGTGGCAAACATGGAATAGTCGTTACGGTGTTGGTTACAGCACGTCTGGGGGTCCGTATACTTTCTGCCTCACCTATTCTCGCTGCTCTTTGATGAGTGTTTTAATCCTGTTTAAAGTTGTTTTGCTTTATAGTATAATATTTTTTATGATATTTGAACATAAAATAATACAGCTATTAATATTCGTGTATGGAATTCGAGAGCCGCACCTTGACATCAAAAGAGCCGCATGCGGCTCGCGAGCCGCAGGTTGCCGACCCCTGGGTTAGTATAGTTACAGTATGTACTTACTTGAGAACCAAAGTGTCAATGGTCATTAAGTTACCATTATTTTACTAAAACTAAAGGGTCAGACATGTAGAATAGTTGTGTGGTGTAGAACTGTCTCATAAATTAAAGATTGAAAGAACAAAATAGCAAATATGCTAGTGGTGTGGATGCAATTCTTCTTTAATCAGGGTTCTTTCAGACATTTCTCTGTAGGTGGCACTTGAAACTTCTGTAGGGGGGGGGGGGGGGGGGGAGAAGAATTGTTGACAATTTTTTTTATTCAATCGAGTAACATAATATTATTAATAATTTCTTATTAAACCCAGCCGGTTAAAAAAAAGGATGCAGGTTTATCTATTCAAGCATATATATAAACATTTCAGGATTTCAGGAGCCAAAGGGACATAACCCTAGATTACTGATCAGAGCAGGAGGGTAACTTTAGAAATAAATACAACACGAATACTTTACTTGTCATATTGGTGCTCATTGCGGACAAGGGGAGTGAATCTCTAGCTGAAGATATTATCAGGGCCCGTAACTCGAGAATGGGCCTCCCTCTGAGCGGGATAGTGACGGCAGGTGGGGTTTAAACGACAGCATCATTGTTTGTCTTTAGGAGAACTATCTCTTGGGACCTCGTCACCGAGCAAACAGTTGAAGTGTACAAAAAAAAAAAAAAAAAAAAAAAAAAACAAAAAACACAATCTTTCAGAACCGAAGGTAAAAATAAAACAGATTAAAAAAACCAATCCTTTCTAATGATCAGCTTTAACTGCACTAAAAGCACCGAATGAACTTCCCCTATTTATGAAAAGCATTTGTCGCTCCAGAATCATACGTTCTACACATTTACCGAACAATGCCTTTACCCAAGGAGAGAGTTTTTAATTTCTCGTATTTACGAAATATAGAGAAAGTCTTGTAATCGTGCAAAAAAAAAAAAAATCGAGATTTTTACAAATCTCGACGTTTTACACCTCACTGATACGGAAAAACATAATTTTGCAATCTTGTCCGTATATCTGTGTGTCTGTCTGTCTCTGTGTGTGTATGTCTGTGTGTAAACACGATAGCTTGAGTACCGTTACAGCTAGGTTGATAAAATTTCATATATAAGTATTTTATCAAAATCATAGATCCGTATCAACTTTTGAGTGCTTTCCGATAACCGGAAGTGGTACTTTTTCTACTTTGAATTTTTCAAAAGCCTATAACTTGAGTACTATTTCAGTTAGATAAATGAAATTTCCCATGTAAGTAAAAGATCTAATTCTTTACGTTCTGTCGAATTCTGAGTAATTTCCGTTGACCGGAAGTACTAATTTACGCTATTTCCGATTTCTCATAAAACGAATTTAAATTTATAAAGTGCTAATAATATTGCGCACTATTATGCACATTTTGTTTTGGCGTTCGCTTGGTGCGCAATTCTTTTTTCTACTAGCTTTTATTCTATTTTTAAAAGTTTAAGTAAATAAAAATCATGTCTATATTCCGAGTTGCCATCCCACGTAGTGTTATATTAGAATATTCGAGAAAGTATAGGGGAGGTCACTCCCGGTTTAGTTTATTTCCACATTTAAAGTACGTTTAAAAATTACACATTTTTAAATACTTGTTTTAATATTTAACTGAATGGTATTTAGTGCAAGAGTAAAATTGAGTAAGTTTTCAAATCACTCAGAATCTTTTGAGTCTACTTTTTTATATCAGTTTATTTTTATCTAGACGACAACGCCACGACTAAAACTACTTGCTTGAAAACCCGATCAGAAACTCTAAACAAAAGTTATCTGCCCCTTAGTTGAGTCTATGGTCAGCTCCTTGTGAGAAATAGTGAAATCAGCTTAGCCGACTGATTCAGTGAAATCTTTACCTATTGATTATCTCAGCTGTTGTTTATTGAAATATACGACATCCACATCTTTTCCAGTTCGTGCCCAAGACACATAGGGCAGATGAAGTGAAGATGAAGTGAAGTTCATCTATTTTAATGGTCTGGACATATGAGGGATAGTATGGTCAACACTATGTCTATCCGCCTGTTTCCCTTACGTGAGTCAGGTACCCATTAGAGCTGGGTGGACTCAGGGACGGTCTACAGACTTGAACCGAGACTATCGGGTTAGCAGTCTAGCGCTCTACCGTCAGACCATTCCGTCCATTGTATTATTATTATATTAATTATAAAATAATCCTCAATATATTTTCATAACGTTTAATATTTATTTTGATAAAAATTGAGATATTCAGCGACTAATATTTTTTTTATAAGAATTGATTTAAAGTTGAGTAAGAATATTTTCCACAAACCCACACACATACATTGTGAGTGAAGTAACAGTTTGAAATAAAACATGTTTCAGAACTAACTGTAACTATTTGAAACTCAACATCTTTACAAATTTATCAGAGTTTGTGTACACTGATGTATGTTATTGTTGACAATAAAAGGAGCAGCTATAAACTAATCTTGATTTAATGTACTTCTTTTAAATCGATATCCTTCAGGCTGATAATAGTTTGTAAACCAGTTGAAGTGGTTTTACTCAGTGGCGCCTGGTTCTATGGTATCTTGTTCAAATGGAAAAATAAATAAATTGTCTTTTCTTTCTTTTTCATTAAAATGACTTTAAAGTTTGAAACAAGTGGTCATTTTAAAATACAAGTTTAAAAAATAACTTTGCCACTGAATAGGCACATTTTTTTTACTAGAAAGCTTATCTATAGAGAATGTTGGATATATATATATATATATATATATATATATATATATATATATATATATATATATATATATATATATATATATATATATGTGTGTGTGTATGTGTGTGTGTTTAAACCAACATGTAGTAGTTTGGTCTTAAAATGAAGAAAAGAAAATCTCCCGACTGTTTCGATGTTCTAAAATAAAGTGTTTCGGCGCTTCACGTTTTTAAAGTGTTGTTTAAAAATAGACGCTTTAAGACGCCTTAAAAAAGAGACAAGGTGCGTTCATCATTAATCATATAAGTACAACTTTATGACGTCAGTTTAGTAAATGGCGGCACGCAATGTTTTGTGAAATTCGTATTTATGCTATGTTGCCTAGAGCCAACACTTCACCTCTGGACTTTCCATGTTGGTGGGGAGTTAACATTTCAAGATAATTAGACCATCACCATAACAGATGTTTACACAAATGTTTCGGCCGCCTGAAGACAAACAAAACTTTGTGATACCATATTTGTTTTATTCCTTTGTTCCCCACCCAACCAAAGATTTGCTGGCAGAAATACCTTACTGGCTGCTTAAGTAACTCAAGGAAAAATACTTTTCAGAAAATAAAATAAATCCGTCCACCATTTCTTTCAGACATATTTCTATATAATTTGTTTTTCTATTTCATCTCACGAACAGATGTCTGAAAAAAATTCTGAATCCGTCAATGAACTTGCTCGAACAAACAACACAAACATGTTACTTGTTTGTATATTTTTATCTTCTTAACTAAAAGGGAAACACAATTCAACAAAAAGCCCGGATTTAGCAGCATTATTTTCTCCGTCTGGTAAGTCACTTCCAGAAGATTCCATTATAGTCCTGGAAGTAAACAGGAAGTAGAATCAGTTTCATAAGTCTATTTTTAGTTTGTCCACCATTTCGCTGACCTACATTGTTCGGTTAAAGAAAAGTGCCAGAAGTGTTTTACAGAACTTGAGGATTTCCTTCCTGAAGTTTTTCCCCCAGATGAGGAAGTAAAAAATGTTGCAGGAGAGGCTGACGCAGTAGAGCGTCTGAAAGAGGAAGGTGAGGTTGACGGAGGACGAGTACCTCTCCGTGGACTCGGCGTAAAAAAATGTCTGTATGACGTCACAGATCTTCTGCACGTGGCTCGGCGCCGTCAGGATGATGAAAGACCCCGTGATGACGCAGAGGAGTCGGGAGACGCGGAGCAGGGAGCGGTGACGCCGCGACATGAGCGGGCGGAGCGGGTTCTCCCCCCGCCGCGTCATGATGATGTTCTTGACGCAAGACGGCACCACTAGCACCAGCATGATGGCGGTGGGGATCACCATGGTTACCATGGTGTCCACGGCCGTAAAGACGTAGATGACTTGCTTGAGGTTGTTGGGCACCATACAGTACAAGGTGCCGTTGCCGTGGTTGGCCACCAGCTCGCTGGTCCAGAGGGCGAAGTCGTACAGCAAGGCCGAGATGACCACTAGGCCAAGGACTGCCGTCCTCGCCTTGGGTACCGTGCACAGGTAGGTCGCCCTCACCAGAGAGAAGTTGATCAGGAAGTTCTCCCACGTCACGCAGACGACAAGCCAGCTCGACAGGAAGCTGGAAGAAAGGTCAAGGAAAGGTCAATAAACTAGGCCAATGGAGGACAAGCAACGTTACTTAAATAATTCCAGCGTTATTTATTTGAAGACTTTTTGACTTAATTCAGGGACACCCCGCATTGTATTTAAATTGTAAGTATATAACTCATGTCAGGTACCCAGGGGCGGAACTACCATACCGCCAGACCCCGCAATGCGGGGGGGGGGGGGGGGGGGGGGGGCCAGGACGTTTAGGGGCCCAGTTCCCACCAAAAAACAATGAATTTTTTTTTCAAAAATTATGTTTTTCATGCATCTTGAAAGTGGTTTTGTAAAAAAAAAAAACAGGTCTACTATAGCAGAGATTGTTGCGTAGAAAAATATTTTAAAATCTACAAGAGCTATAGTTTGAAATGTAGGCAAACATTCACACTACTTCCATGACTTACTGCCCTTCTTTAAAATAGGTATGCCCACGAAGCTCATTTAAATAGTTTTGTACTATGTATATTAAAAAGCAATTGATTCTCTGAATTGTTATTTAAATAAAACATAATAAACAATGATATAGCTATAAAAGTAATTTTTTTTCAAAATTGATTTTATAAAAGCCAAAAATGAAAAAAATAAACATAACGCGAGAAACCATTCACGATAAAGCTTACGTCTTTATATATTTTTTGAGCAGCATTTTTAGTAGTGGCCATGTCTATTTCTAACCCAAGATGATTTGGACTAAATTTGTCTGGTTTGTTCTCTCAGAATGGTTATATATTGCAATAAAGTAGACTTAATTACTCAATTAGGATATAGATTATATATATATATATATATATATATATATATATATATATATATATATATATATATATATATATATATAGGGGGCCCTAATTTTTTCCTTGCGGGGGAGCCCCTTTTTTCTAGTTCCGCCACTGCAGGTACCCATCTCAAGACCTTTATGTTAGTGGTCATGCACTCTATTTTCTGACCACACCACATTTCCCCAAATGTACAACTTAATGTCTAAAATAAAAAGGCCGTTATGTGATAAAATGGGATGAACTTTTCAAACAGTTAAATGGCGGAATTTATCTAGAGAGATTTGCGATAAACAACGTGTAGTCCAGGGTCAAATTTTATATGCAGCAGTAGGTGATGTAGATGGTGAGAGGGCATATGCCCTTGGTGTGCATGATGTGGAAACAAATTATCTTACCTGCAGCAGTAGGTGATGTAGATGGTGAGTGGGCATATGCCCTTGGTGTGCATGATGCGGAAGCCCATGAGGTCCAGCCAGGACGCCGAGCTGGCCACCAAAAACAGGAAGTTGCAGGCGGCCAGAGCGGCCAGGTACACGTTGGTGGAGACGGCCCGCATCTTCCGGGTCATGAACACACAGAAGGAGAGCAGGTTGCCGATAAATCCGAACACAAAGATGGAGGGCTGCACGTACCTGGGGACAAAGATAACAATTGGAGGTTGGAAATACCTGGAGATCTAAACAACAGTGGGAGGTTGAGCCTAACTGAACACAAAGACAGTGGAAGGTTGAACCGAACTGAACACAAAGACAGTTGGGGGATGAGCCTACTGAACCCAAAGACTATTGGAGGTTGAACCGAACTGAACACAAAGACAGTGGGCGGTTGAGCCGAACTAAACACAAAGACAGTGGGGGGTTGAGTCGAACTGAACACAAAGACAATGGGAGGTTGAACCGAACTGAACATAAAGACAGTGGGAGGTTGAGCCGAACAAAGACAGTGGGAGGTTGAGCCGAACAAAGACAGTGGGAGGTTGAGCCGAACAAAGACAGTGGGAGGTTGAGCCGAACAAAGACAGTGGGAGGTTGAGCCGAACAAAGACAGTGGGAGGTTGAGCCGAACTGAACACAAAGACAATTGGAGGTTGAGCCGAACTGAACAATAATAAAGATCTACCAATGGCCTGATGACTTACTTGACAGTGGCTGTGATCAGATCTTTGGAGTAGGAGTAGGATGTGACGTTCATCTCCAGCATGGAGCTGTTGAGCAGGAGGTAGTTGGCAGGTAGTTCCATTTCTTCTGAGTCTAGAGCTGAGTGACGTCACTTGTGTGTCTTGTGACGTCAGCTGTGTGTCTTGTGACGTCAGCTGTGGACCTTGTGACGTCAGATGTGTCTTGTGACGTAGGCTGTGTGTTTGTGACGTGAGTTGTGTTTCGTGTAGTGTTGGGAGCAGATAAAGCTCCCCGGCATGTGACGTAAGTTGTAGGATTATACGTCAAATGCTTGATGACGTCAGTGTCTGCACTTCATGGTTCTAAAGAAGAAGATAACAGCACGTGACGTAAACTGATGTTTTTGACACACCATCACAACTACAATAACCAGAGTTTATACCAGGCATCCCCCCCCCCCCGAAAATTTCAACATTAACACCAACATTAACACCAACATTAGCACCAACATTAGCACCAACATTAGCACTAACATTAGCACCAACATTAACACCAAAATTAACACCAACACTAGCACCAACATTAGCACCAACATTAGCACCAACATTAGCACCAACATTAGCACCACATTAGCACTAACATTAGCACCAACATTAGCACTAATCACTAACATTAGCACCAACATTAGCACCAACATTAGCACCAACATCAGCACTAATCACTAACATTAGCACCAACATGAGCACCAACATCAGCACTAATCACTAACATTAGCACCAACATTAGCGCCAACATTAGCACCGACATTAGCACCAACATTAGCACCAACATTAGCACCAACATTAGCACCAACATTAGTACCAACATTAGCACCAACATTAGCACCAACATTAGCACCAACATTAGCACCAACATTAGCACCAACATTAGCACCAGCATTAGCACCAACATTAGCATCAACATTAGTACCAACATTAGCACCAACATTAGCATCAACATTAGTACCAACATTAGCACCAACATTAGCATCAACATTAGTACCAACATTAGCACCAACATTAGCACCAACATTAGCACCATATTAACATCAACATTAGCACCAACATTAGCATCAACATTAGTACCAACATTAGCACCAACATTAGCATCAACATTAGTACCAACATTAGCACCAACATTAGCACCAACATTAGCACCAACATTAGCATCAACATTAGTACCAACATTAGCACCAACATTAGCACCAACATTAGCACCATATTAACATCAACATTAGCACCAACATCAGCACTAATCACCAACATTAGCATCAACATTAGCACAAGTATTAGCACCAACATTAGCACTAACATTAGCACCAACATTAGCAACAACATTAGCACTAACATAAGCACCAACATTAGCACCAACATTAACACAAACATTAGCACCAACATCATCACTAATCACTAAAATTAGCACCAACATTAGCATCAGCATTAGCACCAACATCAGCACTAATCACTAACATTAGCACCAACATTAACACTAACATTAGCACCGACATTAGCACCAGCATTAACACCGACATTAGCACCAACATTAGCACCAACATCAGCACTAATCACTAACATTAGCACCAACATAAGCACCGACATTAGCACCAAAATTAGGGCCAACATTAGCACCAACATTAGCACCGACATATGCACCAACATTAGCACCAACATTAGCACCAACATGAGCACCAACATTAGCACCAACATTAGCACCAACATTGGCACCGACATTAGCACCAACATTAGCACCAACATTAGCACCAACATTAGCGCCAACATTAGCGCCAACATTAGCACCAACATTAGCGCCAATATTAGCACCAACATTAGCACCAACATTAGTGCCAACATTAGCACCGACATTAGCACCAACATTAGCACCATCATTAGCACCAACATGAGCACCACTAATAGCACCAACATTAGCGCCAACATTAGCACCGACATTAGCATCAACATTAGCATCAACATTAGCACCAACATTAGCACCAACATTAGCACCAACATTAGCACCGACATTAGCACCGACATTAGCACCGACATTAGCACCAAATTAGCACCAACATTAGATTCTGAGCTTAACTTAGGGTCATTAGGTACAAACTTTTAAGAAAAATATTTTCAGTAATCGTAATCCATTAATGAACAATTATTGAATTTGTTTTTTTAACGAAATTGGATTTTCAGGCTAAAAGCATGCATTTTAAATCAATTTAAACTTTTTTATGTCAGTTTGACCTAAAAAAAAATAACAAATTGTTTTTGGCTTTTAGAAATTTTAGTTTATTTACCGAAAATATACAAAAACAACAACTATGTCGACTCTGTAACATAGCCATACAAAATCCATACAAGAAAGTGTTTATAATCACATATCAATGTTCACATTTTGAAATTTTTTAATTGACACTGTGAGTCAGTGCCGTTGTATGGCATTCAATAAATTTTATGGCTGGTTGTATTTCAACTGAGCTGTTCGATAATTCCCTACCCCACCCCTCTGTCACCTGTACTATACACCCCACATGTAACATGCTCTACGTTATAATAAAACGAATAAAAATGGAAATAGTGATTTCCCTTCAAGAGTTGGAGCTTATTTATCAGAAAATTTTACAATACATATAGGTCTAACATTTTAAAAGTATTAATTAGCCAAAGAAAATTATCAATTTTTTAAATCGAAATATAGAAATAAAAGTTTAGAATTGAATACAAATTCATTTAGGACTCCACAGTTTTCTAGACTCAGCTGTTTTAAATATTTCCAGTATTTTTCGAATTGCTCCCTTTCAACTTTTAAATAATCTAACACTTTAGACAAGAACAGAAAGCATTTAAAATGATAATAAAAGCATGAATATTCAATGAAACTTTATTTTTACAGTCCAAAAAATTGAACCCGTCCCGAAACTCCTGATTGATACTGGAATAAAGGAACAATCTACGAGCCAATAAGTTGACACTGGAATAAAGAAACAATCTACGAGCCCATAAGTTGACACTGGAATAAAGGAACAATCTACGAGCCCATAAGTTGACACTGGAATAAAGGGACAATCTACGAGCCCATAAGTTGACACTGGAATAAAGAAACAATCTACGAGCCCGTAAGTTGACACTGGAATAAAGGGGCAATCTACGAGCCAATAAGTTGACACTGGAATAAAGAAACAATCTACGAGCCCATAAGTTGACACTGGAATAAAGGGACAATCTACGAGACCATAAGTTGACACTGGAATAAAGGGACAATCTAGCCTGGAGACCAGCCCATAAGCTGCTAGATCCCAGGGCAGGAACGACGAACATCCCTGGCCATTCGTTTACCCCGACCGATAGATTTCCGACGGTGATTTTTCCGACGGTTAATTTTCCGACGGTTAATTTTCTGTCGCAGAATCGTCAAATAGCCTGAGCGGATTGTCTATTGAGTTTATGACCTGTTTCATATCGATCTTCTTCAGTATGACTCCCCCCCCCCCCCGCACACACAACCACCCTCCCATCTCCCCCTCCCATCTCCCCTCCCACAGACACCAGAGTCATGTAAACATTCTTGTCGGAACAGACGATCTAGACTTACATGACGTGCTTGACCCAGGTTACCGGACCTCGTCTGCAGGAAGCGCCGGCCGGAATCCGGTTGATTTAATCTGCCGGCATCCCAATATGTCTTTGATTTAATCTGCCGGCATCCGAATATGTCTTTGACTAGAGTTACGGCGTCTGTTACCGCGTGCTCCTAATTTAGACAGGGAAAAACAGAAATACATTTGGCTTTATTAGGGCAAAATCTAGTACATCTATTTACTATTTATCTTACATATATATATATATATATATATATATATATATATATATATATATATATATATATATATATATATATATGTTTGTGTGTGTGTGTGTGTTTGTGTATGTGTGTGTGTTCAATGATCAAACACTCAACAAGAAAGAAACTGCTAATTAAAATATAAAAAAATTGTTTATCTAATGAGCTTTTTCTTCACACGCAATTTTTTTTTCTTCTGTCGAAGCTAAACAAAAAAAAATCTTGTTGAAGGTGAGGATAAAACGATATGTAAACAAATAAATATGTATAGAGAGATGTGGTTATATGTAAACAAATATGTATAGAGAGATGTGGTTATATGTAAATAAATATGTATAGAGAGATGTTGTTATATGTAAACAAATATGTATAGAGAGATGTGGTTATATGTAAACAAATATGTATAGAGAGATGTGGTTATATGTAAACAAATATGTATAGAGAGATGTGGTTATATGTAAACAAATATGTATAGAGAGATGTGGTTATATGTAAACAAATATGTATAGAGAGATGTGGTTATATGTAAACAAATATGTATAGAGAGATGTGGTTATCTGTAAACAAATATGTATAGAGAGATGTGGTTATATGTAAACAAATATGTATAGAGAGATGTGGTTATATGTAAACAAATCTATATAGCACTGTAGTGGAGGGATTGATTTAGGTGTGTTGTACATGTTTTTATTTTATTCTAAAAGAGTGACTAATGTGGAATAAGGCCTCCGTGCCAACTGTTGTTACCGTTATTAAACTCAGTTCTTATTCAGTCGCGACAGCTGAATTCAACCCCTGTGTTGTGATCTGTTGTCGTCGTGTTCTTAGCGTCCACTTCTCGTACGGTGCATAGTGTTAAGATCATTGTTAGAGTTAGGTTTAAGTCAGGTTAGAGAGTTCGTCGCTCTTTGACTAAGTGAACATACCGTTAATGTTCGAATCTCTAAAATTTATCGTGTGGTGATCTAACGAAATCTAAAATAAGTCGGAAAAATCAGAAATGAATACATGTCACTCTATCCATCACGTAAGAATTCGATGAATGCACGTGGATTTTAGCGTACGTTTTCGTTCAGTTTTAAGTTACCTGCACACAACTGGTCAGTTCAAGCTACACAACTGGTCAGTTCAAGCTACACAACTGGTCAGTTCAAGCTACACAACTGGTCAGTTCAAGCTACACAACTGGTCAGTTCAAGCTACACAACTGGTCAGTTCAAGCTACACAACTGGTCAGTTCAAGCTACA